GAAGCCCCCGATACTACGGCTCGGAGGTCGCTTATTCTCGTCCGCACGACCGTGCAAATCCTCTTGATCCGGAGGACTTACATGAAGGTTGGCCCTGACCAGGATCTGGATCGTCTTCGGAAGGGTCCGTGGCGCCGCGCATTGATCAAAAATGTTAGCTGGCCTTCGACGTTTTGAGATCGAGGGCGCTCCTTTCCACTCGGAGGCTAGGTGGGGAGAAGTCATTTCGCGCGAACGGAGGCTTTAAGTCGAAGTAGCTTACACAACATACAACAAGGTGATAGCACTACACGAGGCCTATAGATTTACAAATTTTAAGGAGCGTAAAAGGTGCAAGATAAAATCTGCGAACGTAAAGGTGTTCAAATTTTGAATAACGTTGGGTACAAGGGGAATTTTGGAAGTTAGTAAAAGAAGGAGGGTGTGGAAGAGTAGAAGATAAATAATGGCGTCCATTAGTCGAGAACGAATAGATAGCGGGAATAATATGGAGCATGAGATGCTGGAGAAAAGAAAAATCAGCAAAGGAAAAAATACTGCAAGTTGCAACTCACGAATTGCATAGGTGATACTAGACGATATACACCTGGGGTACACAATAAATACAACAACATTTGGAGGTCTCTTGCGGTCAAATCAGTAGGGGAAAAAGTCGCGGAAAGGAAGGGAGGCGGAAATATCGCTCTCGTTAAGATTCGTTGTTGGGGTATACATGGAATGAGCGTAGCAGTTTGCGGTTGAATAATCAATCCAAGTTGGGAAGTCGTTCATGGGCAACATTTGTGCCGCTGAGAATTCGGTGTTGTCGAACACCGCCGAGGGAATGGAGAGATTCGGTTGGGAGTAAAGATAGTAGTCCGGTTGGAGTTGGGGCGGATCTTGAGGATACGAGGAGTAGTAGGAAGGGAGCGAATCAGGCGAGATCTGAATTGGGGACAAAGGGGAGCAGTCGAACTTGTAGACGATGGAGCATTGAGGCCGATTCACATGATCCACGGGGACGCCAACTTTCATAATGTCCTGAACGATAGTATATTGTCGGAGATCTAATCATGAAGAATTAATTTCCAACATTAAGAAGTAACGACGGCTTTAAAGTACAAACCTGAAGCTTTGCTTGCGAGAGTGGCCCAATAGTTGGGAATGAGGCTGGTCCTGTAGAGCATCGGCATGTCGCCTGACACAGTAGAAACGCGTTCGATTTTGGTGACCTCCTTGTAGAAAGCATTGCCGTTGACGTCGTGCACAGCGAAAAAGGTCTCATACTCCGAGTTGGGCGAGAGCATCGAGGCGCTGAAGACGATAGTGGGAACAAATGCCCAAACGGGGCGTGGGGCAAGAACTGTTATTCTGCGCTGCCAATTCATGGGAGAGTCGGACAAACGAGACTCATCGAGGTCCAGCGTGAACGTCGCGGGTTGTACCCCTGTCCAAGGCTGATGCATCCAGTTGGACGGAAGATCGACTTCGTATGGCTTTAAGTCGACGTGGACGAGATGCCGAGGACAGACGCTCTGCGTGATTGTGGAGTTACTGGAGGATCCCTGGTCGTGATCCGGGAAGCCAGAAGACGTCGGTGAGGTGCAAGGAGAACTCGAGTAAAGTGTCGATGAGTCCGGAGAGAGAGTGCTCATCGACGAATTACTTCCCAGAGGGGGAGGGCGCTTCTTCTGTAGATCCGGAGCAGGAGCGTCCTGCTTGAGCTGGGAAACTTTAGGCGGTAGGTCAGGAAATTCCTTCGATTGTATGAGAGTCAGAACTAACATGTAAAACGGTTATGTTCAGATGACACAGTCGAAAGATTTACGAGACTTACTGTCCTCCGATGTGCAAGTTTCGCGTAGTTGCTGGAGACGACTCCCGACTTGTTTGGGAGTTCGCCGTTTGCCTGTAACCTTGAATATGTAGTTGGATATGAACGCGTTACGCTTGGGAAACCGAAGTAATTTCTGGGGAGCCTTGCTCGAAGTAGGGCGATAAATTGTCAGAGCTGAAAAAGGGCGATGTTATCATCCTAATTGAAGCCTAGAAGCGACGTATATACCTTCAAGGAGCGCCGTTTCTAAAAAATCAGGCCAAACGGCCTCCTTCTCTCGCGGAGACTGTTTATAAGAATGCCTGCCGGTACCCTTGACCTTTTTTCCATGATGGGGGCTAGTGTGGTCGTGTGGACGTGAGAAGTCCGACATAGACGAGGTCGAAAACAGGCTAGGAGTCAAAAGGACGCCATCTCCTGAAGAACTCGAGTCGGACATGGGGCGATGGGGGGTGAGATAACTATAGAGGTGTGCAAAGTTGAGAAGGTCGCGAGGTGGGTACAAAAACGACGCGTTCGCGATCTCATATAGGTGGGGGGCTCAAATCGGGGGAAAACGATCTAGGAAATCTCCATAAACCCAATCGGCGATCCCAAAGGCAATCAACACGACACGAACGCATCCTATTGGCTCCTATTGGACCCTCACCGAGAAAGAAACAAGGTTGACTTTGGCTAAATTGAGGTCAGCTTGTCCTGATATGGGAACCTGCCTTCAAAAGCTTTGGCCTCGCAGCCTCACGGGGTTAAGGTACGACCGATTGAGGAATTGCGCCAGGCTGGAATTCCCTCAATCACTGCCAAAAAGTCTTTTTTTTTTCAAAAAAAATGGCGGTAATCGAAGGCCCGAGCGGTCGACACATCTTCAACCCGAAGGGACTGGAGCCAACACTCGATCCAATCAGACCCAAACTATGAGGAAGTAAAATTGCGCTCTCGGTGAATAGTTTAGATTCCGACACACCCGCATTGTGCTGCTTGACGAATCTAGAAATTTGTTGAAATCCTGGAATTCCCATGCGACGCACACCAGGGGAATCAACAAAGCCTGGGAATGGAGCTTTTTAGACTTCAAAATATTCCAATGGATTAAGTATTAGGGGAGATCTCATTTTGCTGCGGCGTTGAAGGCAATCAAGATCAAGAAAAATCGCAGAGTGCTGGAGAAGCCAAAGGTACTAGTAACCATATTGATTGTCGGTGTTATTGGTTGTTAGCTTTCGGAGCTGCCCGTCATCAGTCCTTGATACTGCAAGCTTGACTATAATCCTGCTATAAAGATGGATCCATTAGCTGGAATGGATGATTCTTCCACAGACGACGATACCGCGTCCCAAACCACTGAGGATGACCCGCAGGTCCCTGACAATCAAACATCGGCGCCACCTCCACCACCAGTCTTGCCGCCACCTCCTCCACCCGTCTCGACGACGGCCGTGCAACGCGAAAAACCCCATTATCAACTGCGACATACGCTCCGAGGTCACACAATGTCCATCTCGGCAGTCAAATTCAGCCCAGACGGGAAATTATTGGCCTCTTGTGGTCAGTAGAAATCAAATGTTGCATTCTTTTTAGACTTGGTTTATGTATGTATGTCTCATTCTTGGTACCTCAACAGGAGCCGAAAAGGTGGTGAAGATCTGGTCTCCGGAGACCGGAGAGTTTTTGAGGAATCTGTCTGGACACACGCAAGGGCTCTCTGACATCGCTTGGTCGTTCGATAGTGTGTACCTTGCCTCGGCCTCGGATGATACCACAATTCGCATCTGGGACGTAGAATCCGTGAGTGGGACTTAATTAAAAAAAACTTTCTTGGCCATTCATGTTTAGAACTCAGGGTTTGACACACAAACATCTCAAAGGCCACACTAAATGGGTCTTCTGTCTGAACTATAATACTGCATCGAATCTCCTTGTTTCGGGAGGTTGCGACGGTGATGTGCGAATATGGAATGCAGCAAGAGGTTTATCTCAAGGTTATGCTTTCTTCAAAATCTAATACCTCTTAGGCAAATGCATGAAAACACTCCACGCACATCTGGATTATGTCACAGCCGTTCACTTTAATCGGGACGCTACATTGATAGTGTCGTGTGCACTCGATGGCTTGATGTATGTATTACCTTGTTTGCGTTTTGCAATCCGACTAACGAATGTCCTCAAGTCGAATTTGGAATACGAGTGATGGACAGTGCCTAAAAACTTTGGCAGAAGGGCATGACGCTATCTGGTGGGTGTTCACCCCAACTACTGCTGGTTCTATTTAATCTCATCCTTCTTATCAAGCCAACATGTACAGTTTTCTCCAAACTCAAAGTACATCCTCTCAACCGCGCACGACAGCGCTATTCGTCTGTGGGATTATCATAGCACTCGCTGCCTCAAGACCTATACTGGCCATGTCAACTCGAAATATTGTATATCTGCCTGCTTCAGCGTCACCGGCGGCAAGTGGATCGTAGCTGGCAGTGAAGACCACAAGACTTACATTTGGGATCTTCAAACCCGCGAAATTGTCCAGGTGCTGGAAGGTCATACTGGTACGTTCTATGTAAACCCAATGTACAGTCTATTGATATTCTTACTTCTTCAGATGTTGTCGTTGCGGTTGCTGTGCGTTTTTTTGCTGCTACATCCCCTCTTTTGACTGATCCGTTCTGACAGACACATCCTACCCAAAATATGATCGCGACGGGCTCCATCGACTCAGACCTCGCAATAAGAATATGGACCGATCGTGGACCCAGGCCGAGCGCATAGACAGCCGTCTCACAGTCCATATATTCATCACCTCCGCTCTCGTTGTTCAGCGCTATATACCCTCTGTATGTATTTCTAATGTACATCCACCTCATCATCCATCGCCTGTCCTTGCATACCAAGGATATGTACATCGCATAATCAACGGAGAGTGAGCTATGAGCTCGCTCGGCATCGAATCTGGCAGACAGAACAGCATCGACACGAAAACAAAACGTTGTCCATGTGGGGCTCCAGGGAGAATTTTAAGATATGGAAATGGGAATCTACTTCAAAGGTTCTGCGTGCAACAGATCTGAAGAAGATTTAGTTAAATCTGGAAAGGAAAGAAACCGATCACGTACCATTGGCCACTTCCTTGTCCTCTTCAGTCAATCCAGAATCATGGGCCTCAAGGAAAGCATCCACCTGCAATCGTCGATAAATAACACTGGAAGGGAAGCTCAAAGAAACATACCTCATCCAAAACCTGATCATCATTATCCCCATCGCCAAAGTCGTCGTCATCGTCATCGTCATCATCCTTTGCATCGTCTATCGCAAATGGTGTTCGCTCCATAAGCGCGGCATTGACAACTTGGATCATCGGCATGGCAGAAAGACTTCCACTCTCTGGTACGGCTGGCAAAGACTTCTGTTCCTCAGACGGGATGTTGACTGAAAGTGTCGATGGTGGTGATGGAGCCGGAGAGGAAGCAGAGCCAGAAAGACTCGACTTTGACGGGGATTTGCGCATTGAGGGAGTGAGAAGGGATTCACGGGCTTTCGGCTCTTCCAGCTTGGTGTATCTTCCAATGGACGGCCGGTGGACGACCTGAAGAAAGGTTAACGTTGGTGCACTAATTTGAGTGTGACACTTACCTGATGTTTCCCGATGGTTTTGCCGATTTCATCAGTAAACATATTGAATATCTTCTTATTACTGTCCGTCGCTATTGATGACCAGATATCACCTAAGAAGCCGCTACTTGATATTGGCAACTCCATCTCGGGGAGATGTTGCAGCTTAAAGGAAGCTGACAAGTCAGTCTCGTAGAAAGACTCAAGCACCTCATCAGCGAGAACCACCATTCGGAAACTAACAGTCGTTGTCAGCATCTTCTGGAATATCAGAGCACACAAAACTCACGTAGCAAGATTTAGATATGGCTGGTTAGATTCTACGGGTCGAGGCGACTCTGGCTCGGCGTCGCCCTCTTTGGCCTCTTCTGACTGAGGAAGAAGCGCATCACCATACTCGAAAGCATTTGTCATGAACCGGCTGACTGCTCCTAGATATGCATCACCAATTTCATATCGGAAAATGAACTAAACAGAACCATCAGAGTGATTCCAGTCATCTCAGCAGATGAAACAAACCAAGAATGACTCAGAGAGGGTTAGGACTTCGTCCTTCGTGAGGAATCCGTCTTTGTTCTTGTCGTGTAGGTTGAAAAACCATTCAATATTCTCCATTAGGTCATTGAACATCACTCCGTCCAAACCAGAGACGAGATCCTTAACCCATCACGTAAGTCAACGCGAAAAGGAACAGTTCGAAAACCTCGTACCTGGAATGACAATGCCCCCTTACAAGATGTGTCCCAGAAAAAGAATAATCTGTCAATGAACTCGTGCTCTGCAACTTCTCGGTCGATGCGTTGCTATATGAACAGTTGATTCATTTGAAAGGTTTCTCAGAGTGAGGAAGAAAAGGCTAACCTGAAAGCCATTCATCACAATCTTCTCGTCCCTGGCCCAGGTCGCAATCTCACTAAGGAAATGCTGGAAAGTGCGTAGACCAATCCTCGTCTCAGGCTTCGCTTCATTACCTTCACCCGTCGTGAACAAAGCCTTCTCTGGTGCAGCAGCAGGTGGCGGGGGTACGATGCACATGGCCTTGTACAGCGCATCATAGATCAAGCCAGCTTGTTCTTTCGTGAATCGACCTAGACTCTTCAAATTCCGCACAGCAGAACGTTTGGAGAACGATTCGATGCTATGGATGATCTCGCTCCTAAAGCGCCTGCGCTCGGTTAGGATCGTCTCGTCCGTGATGACTGAGAATTCTCGGAAGGACACAAGAAGTAACTCCTGGAACCGAGTGATAGCGCGTGCTCGAGGATCAGAGGAGTCCGGGTGAGCAGACTCGCCGAGAGAGGCAAAGTAGTCTCGCATGAGACTATGATAAAGATCAAAAATCATCCTCTGGATCTTGAGTGTCAACATACTTGAGAAACCCTCCATCATCTTGTATTTGAAGCAGGGCTTCCCCATTAATCTTCAAAATTGCTAATGAGCATGTGTTAGATCATCCAAATCACTGAGTCAATATAAAATTGACCTAAGCTAGGGAAATTGTCAACACAACAAGATACAGTATAAACAACGTCACTCACCCGACTTGAAATAAGACTTTCGGTCCCATGCAGAAGAAACAGTCTACTATCCGGAATGCAAAAACCATAGGCATGCTGTTGATGTATCTGAAGGTAAGGAATTCATGTTAATGATGTTTTGCGTTCAACCTTATACGCCAACACTCACAAACTCAAAAACCAAGGCAATGACGCGACAGATAGCTGAACATCGACAAGTCGGAAATGTTCGTGGATAATGGGTAAGCACCGCTGCACAAGGGATTCAAACACGCGTTGGTCAAGCATCGTACCATGCATGGAGGGACTGTAAAGTGATGTTGAGATAGCCTGCAAGGGAGTGGGACCGTACTTACGCATAGTAACCTGGAAGAAGTCGATCGCAGAGGACTTCAAGAAGCCAAAAGGCTTGCTCTTCCGACATATAACTGATATAAAAAGTTGGACTCCCAATTTACGTGGAGGACCACGGGACTCACATCAGGATAGCGGCTGCGAGAATGTTCATCGCCTGGAGGATGTCGAGAGAGTGGAATGAGCCATATTACAAAGAGACATACCTGACAATAACCGAGGTCTGGATTCTTGAACGAATAGGCTTGCAGAACCCGACGAAGGGCACCGATTCCCGCCTCGGATTGATAGCCCGCGTACTCAGGCAAGCTACGGTGAAGATCTTTCTCGATATCTTCTGTGCTCGTACTCGTGCTTCCCGCGTACTCTTCCAAAAGCCGATCGTAGTATCCAGGGTTCGAGAACCGTAGATAGATTGACCCAGAAAGGGTTTCCCACATTTCACCGCGTAGTCTGTTGGGCAGCCCAACCTGAACAAGACGCGTACATTGTGGGTAACGAAGGAGGGTAAGATTGCGGCCATGAGCTGGTAAAGGTTAATGAGAGAGTTTTTTAATAAAAGGGATGGTGCTTACAACGCAGGTAAGTGGTCCATAGCTTAATTTTTGAAGCTTCCCGCAGTCTGGGGCATAGTCTGAGGGGGCGAGGTTGAAGAAATGGAGAACACACACTTTTTTGGGTCGCCCGGGAATTTAAACTTGAGCCCCAATCCACCATGATAAGCAATATCTTGTGATTCTGCATCCTTGTCGTCATTGATTAAACTCCCATCCTCACGTTCATTCTCCCCGACTGTCGAGGATGTAGAGACGAGGACTTCTGAGTAGCATGTCTTAACAAAACTCTTCACGAGTTTCATTTGCCCACGTTGAAGTTCAACCTTGAGCGCATCTCGGAGAAGAGAGCAGAAGAGGTCTGCCGTTGGCCGAAGGGATGTCAATTGCACAATCTGGTGACTCTTATTGAGACATCTCTCCAAGGATATGTGAAAAAGAACGAACGATCTTCATTCCATGCCATAGCAGAAGACTTAAGGCGTAGATGCCAGCCCGTGCGTTCAACCTCTCCACCCGCCGGATTGTAGACAACGGTATCGTAAACCTGACAGACTTTCTATCCAATGAAGCAAACGCCAGATATGGTGGCATTATATGCAGCTTCCCAGCCTTCAGGAAACATTATGAATGTTCCTACAGACGCAGTTATGATAACTCACGTATGAGTCCTCAATCGCTTCACCGAGGCTAAGGACAGCGTTGATGTCCATCTTCTCCTGATCCATCCCCCCACTTTGACCAGCTTCATCTCCAGCGGGTAATGAGAAGAATATTTGTGTTAACTGTTCCTTGGTCGGCTCCTTGAAATGACGAAGTGCTGTCGAGATGGTCGACATTGTTTGAGGCCTTTAGCGGGCGTCAGGAGAGGATGGGCGGCACAACGGTAGGACGATTCCAAGAAACAAGATCAAATCCAAGGAAATGTGGGCGCTCCCGATGAAGAAGTGCTCAAGGAAACGTCGGACTGGTAGTCCAGTGCTGGCTGTACTTAGAGTGATGTCGAAAGAGAAGGTACGTAAGCAGATATCAAACTCTAGAATAGGAGTACATAGCGTTAGGTCACCACAACTCAATTCCTGCCTGCACAAAAGGAATAGCAATGTAATGTATTGAAGAAGGAAGATATAGAATTCTACATTCACAGATTGTACGCAAAAGGTGACAAGACGAGGAGCAGCACCTAATAGTAATAACAAGTGTCCGAGGAGAAAACGTAGAGTACGACAGCGTTCGTTTGCTCAAGGGTATAAGTCTTCTCCGGTAGAAGGCGACGTGTACGTGAAGAGAAAAGACAGCGTTAGACAAAGGGAACGAATGTGAGGGTCTCGCGTGGGGGAGTCAGTGACGACTGAGATCGTAGCTTGAAAGCGGACTCACATATTTGAATATCGGACTGCTATAAACCTCATTAAAGGCAGAGGAATTGCCTCCAGCATATAGGGCTGTACCTTGAGAGAAGAGCTCTGTGGTCGTGACACTGGCTAGATCAGAACGTCAGATCTTTATCTATGAATTCAGAATTAGCTGCACTTACTACCATCCTCGTTGACCCATTGCGATGTAATTAGCCCGGTGTTGAGGTCGATAGACCACTGATAAAGAGGCAGAAAGTTTCTCAACAATGCGTTGAGTACCCTTGACCAATTGGTACGTACGACGTCTGTTTCCGAAGCTCTCGAGATAGCAGTGGCGTTCGTATAAGTGTTGTCCATAAGGCTGGCAATGGAGCCAGAAGCAGCTGTAGAAAGTCAATCAAAATTCAGCTTGAGCGCAGAAATACTAGACTTACTTCCTGGCAGAGCAACACCTCCCAGATAAAGATAGCTGAGTAGTGGTGCGTAAGTATGACTATACTCAATAGATTATTTACACGTACTTGAAACTTGAAGAACCAATGTCATCGTCGGAATTGTCGCGTCCTTGAATGAGGCCAAGGATTGGAAAATCAATTGACTGGTCCGAATCCTATGATCATTTACATTAACTACGGCTCTCACAGAAGTGGATAAAAAATGACCTACATCCATTATAATTCGAAGACCTGTTGCAGTGGTTGCAAAGGAATCAATAACAAAAGAGATTTCTAGTGCCTTGGCCACATCGGTCGTAAATCCCAGGTGGCCAGTCGACAAGAAAGTCGCAGAGATATAGCCAACAGACTCTCCCGTATCAACGTTGGTAACCTGCATCATTCCCATTTTGGTAACAGGGGGGCCAGCGGAAGGCATCTGGCGAATGATGACTGCAGAACGTCAGATGAGTGAACTCCGTCGACAAAGCTTACTGACCAGTTTTAGCTTTGCGCACAGGAGCTTTCAATGGCAACCCTCTGGCCAGTCGCTGTGCGTTTGACAACTTTAACCATGATCTTTGGAATGTGCGAGTGGGAGTGCCTCTGCGCTGGAACGTAAAAAAGCGCATCTCAGGAGACGTTTCCTCTGAATCTCCCGTGGCTACAGAAAGACAGGCGAGGCTGAGGAATGCCAGAGCTAAGAGAGAGAGAAATGACCGCATCTCGATAAATTAGAGGAAGGAAGAGAAGCCGAGAATATGTAGAATGAGAACATGAGAGAATATAAATCGTCTCGAGGGCGCGTTGCTCAGTAGAGACCGCATATGCGTCTTGAATGTGACGAGGGAAGATATCAGCCTGCATGAATGCGAGCCATAGAGCACACGTTTCGAGGTCCCCTAAGCACCTGCCAGAACTTCAAGCTCACAAGTTCATGACATATGACTGGCCATTTGTTTCGTTCGTCAGAGGAAGCCCTTCTGCCCATGAAAGTGCTGCGCCAGCGCTTAAGGGCTCAAGGGCTCAAGCCTCAAACCCCGCACCACAGATAGAAAGGGAAGCCGAATGAGCACATATTAAGTTGTTGATGGGCACTTCATTCATAAATGTTGAATATCGCGCGAGAGCCAGTGCCTGGCTCGTTTTTGCAGGTGCAGTGAATAAACAATGCGTAAATTCGATTTCAACGTTAACCGAGAATAAGTAGACGGCGATGCAGCTGCGTCTCCCTGAGATGCAGATCAAGTCCTATCAAGTCGAGTAAGTGGAAGTCGAGGTCAAAAGGAGTTTGCTTACGAAAAGTTTGGTCCGAGTCGGCTGTCGGCTGATGATCAAGCGAAATGCAAGTTTGCTCCTTTTATTGACACCTCGTTGGCGAAATCGTGCCTTCCTTCCATCGTAGAATTCGTTCTCCCAGAAAGAGTCTTTGTCAGTAGTCATGAGGCGAATTCCTTCAAGCTTCTCTACCCTTTGCTGACACAGGATGCTGTTGTGGCACCGACGGCGACGGGTGCGTGCCTCGCTGTCCCAGATATCATCGACTGATGTTTTTTCAAAGAATCTTTTTTTATCTAATGACTCATGGGTGCACATGGGACCTATATAAGTTCCAGCGAACTTGAGTTGCTTCAAATTAATTTGGATGGATTCCACAACACACACGGAGCAGTCAATAGAACGCGAGGCATCTGCCGTCGATGCTGACAAGGAGGGCGTGGAGATCAAGTCTCTTGTCAATGTACACGAACACCAATTGGACCCAAGGATCAGTGTAACATCATTTCATATCCGTCGGAATTCTGAGGCTTTAAATTCTGGTGGGGAGAAGGGGTTAGAAGAGCCCTTGTACGTGAGTAGACCTGTTATTTTTATTCCTCAACTCAACGGGGGGTTATCATTGGCGATTTTAGATTGAGTTTAAGGAAGGTGACAAACGCAATCCTATCAATTTTTTACGAAAGAAAAAGTGGGGCATAACAGCCCTCGCCTGCTTTTCCACTGTCATTTCAGGTGAGCTAAGCTATTAACTTGCTTGCTTTGATTTCTGATTGCCTTCCATGGCAGCCGGAACTGCAGGCGCATACAATCTCGGATTCGCGTCTATGACAAGAGACCTCAATTGTACCGATTTCCAAGCCACAATCGGATTAAGTGTCTACGCGCTTGGGTTTGGAGTAACACCTCTTGTAACCGCCTCTTTCAGTGAGGAGCTAGGCCGGCTCCCCCTGTACTATGGCTCTGGAATTGGCTTCTTGCTGATGTATATGATGATTGCTCTGTACGCCAGATGATGTCTACTTCTCTGGCCGTGTTCTCAAGTTTTTGCTAAGTTCGAAGAACATACAAACTGTTATCATTGCACGCTTTCTACAGGGTGCATTTGGATCCACTGGATCCACTATGGTCGGTGGCACCGTCGCGGACATATGGTCGTCCAAAGAGTGCGTATCTTCCCTCTAGAATACGTTTTGTACTCATCAAATCTCTAGACGAGGACTTCCGATGGCCATATTTTCCGCGGCCGCCGTTGGAGGTACAGGACTTGGGCCAGTTTTTGCTGGATGGATTGAGATGAACCCGAGACTTGGATGGAAATGGATTCAGTGGATTCAAATGATGTAAGTAAAATTCCCTCATTCAGAATCAAGCCCTAATCTAGCCTTTTCACCAGAATCTGCGGATTTTATCTTTTACTGTTGCCATTGTTTATGCGAGAAACTCGCTCTGCCGTCCTTTTAACTAGGATAGCCAGAAAATTGAGAAAGGAAACCGGAGATCCACGTTACCGGGCAAGGGTAGAAGACGAACGTACCAGCTTACGCACCCTGATCTACATTTCGTGTACACGACCGATTTGTGCGCTCCGTTTCATTACATTCTCTGCGGACGTTGCTCATATGTCTGACAGATCTGATGCTGACTGAGATGATCGTCTCAAGCTTCAGCGTACGTTTGAGATGTGTCTCCTTTTTGCACGAAAAATATTGATGTGGTACAACAGTTGTGGATCGGCTTTGCTTGGGGAATCACTTACTGCCTGCTGGAGTAAGCACCTTTTGATACAACTCCGAATATTCACATCCTAAAGGTCTTATGTTAGGTCTGTTGGGCTTACATTCACCAATCTCCATGGTTTCAATACCGGAGAAGTTGGTACCGTCTTTACGGCTATGATGTAAGTTTATCTTTGCTACCCATTTTTCTGGTGCTCAAGGGACATATTAAGCATTGGCACTGGCCTCGGCTTCCTAACGAATTTGTATCAAGAACGCCTCTATCAGTATGCAGTTGTGATCTTCTCCACAAGTCCTTAACTCACGTTTTTCACAGTAAGAATGTTCTTACACGAGGACCTGAAGCACGACTCTATGGCGCTTGCTTCGCAGCCATCCTCCTTCCCACAGCCATGTTCATCTACGCATGGTCATCTTTCACATTCGTTCATTGGAGTGTGCAAGCTATCGGCATCGTCCTTTTCACTTGGTCAGCGTACACCATCTACAATACTGTCTTTACATATCTGGCGGATTGGTGTGTTTCCTTCTGATAGGAAACCGTCCAGGGGTTGATAACGCATATAAAAGTTATGGCCCATTCGCTTCGTCTGCACTCGCAGGCCAGAGCCTTGCTCGTACGTCACGCACTCCTTCCCGATCACTGTCCATCTAACATCACATCGGAGGTACAGGTAACATTGTAGGCATGGCGTTTCCGCTATTCACAAAGCAGATGTACAAGGCTCTCGACTTCAAGTGGGCCAATACCCTCTTTGGATGCCTAGGCACAGCGATGGTGCCCATCCCCTTCGTACGTCAGTTCCTGCCGTCGGGTATGATCTAGCCTCGCTAATGATTTGATGTATAAAGATCCTCTTTTTCTATGGTCCCGCAATACGTCGAAGAAGCAGGTTCTCCCGAATGGTTATGGAGGCAGCCGACGTATCATGCTGAGAAATCGTTGGTGACATTCACGAAAAGCATCATGAATTTATATGCGCAACATTTTTGGCGCCTTCCTATTGTACATATTGACTACATTTCGTTCTTCAGTTTCAAAGTTACACCATACACACATCATACACAATCATAGACGGGAGGGAGGGTTCAGGCAGCTGAAAGGCTCCAGTGGTAGTACAACGTCCAAAAGTTACAACGATTATAAACGTCCAAAGCTTGAGTTGCAGGTCAAAGTTCAACAAACGTCCAGAGGATGTTTTCCTTGTCAGAAAACCGGAGTTCAAATCTCGATGATTTTGAATTTCTGTCGTCGACCATCAGTTAGCTTCGCATGTATCAACGACTGGTTAGAACTCACGAATGGGACGACCTTGTGACCATACTTAGAGGAGAAAGCGGCAAAGTCACCTCCAGCGTACAACCTTCCATGTTGAGAGAAAAACTTTGTTTTCGGTTTTGCTGCGACGATCAAAATGGTATTTTGAGTCGGGAGAAGGGAGAGATACAACTGCCCACGTACAGCCATTAGTATTGATCCACTGCGCAGTGATAAGTCCAGTGGAGAGGTTAACAATCCACTATAAAGGCAAGAGTGTGCAATGAGATCAGGCGTGCTTAGGCGTGACGAAGGTACGTACAATGTCAGTTTCCACTGCTCTTTTGATGTGCGTAACATCAGTGAAGGCATTGGGGATGACAGTGGGTTTTGCACGGGGAGCAGCTGAGCGAAACACGTTCAGAATGAAGGGTGTGAAAGGTTGCGAGCGTGGCACGTACTGCCCGGAGGTGAAACGCCCGCGAAGTACAGATAACTGTAAGCAGGAAGCCATGAATGACTGTAGTGTCCCTCGAAACGAAAATCACATACTTAAAAGATCCAATGCCGATGTCAGGCGTTGCATCATCCCTACCTTGAACCAACCCCAGAAGTATGTTCGGATCGGTGAGGTTCGAGTTCTGTCAATAGTATAAGTGATGTCACTCGTATTCAAACCAAGAGAGAGACGCAAGAGCAACGAACCTCAATTGTGATTCTCAAACGGCGGAAAATGGTAGAAGACCCTCTCAAGCGTCGCTGAACCGTAGAAGTGTCGTCAGCCCTAAAATTGAAGACAACTGCGTCTGCAGGATCGGATTCGAACTGGAGTTGCCCCCTGTTGAGTGATCTCTTGGAGATGAAGCCGAGAGGTTCGTCAGTGTCAGACCGTATGAGTTGCAAGTGCCCCCTCCTTCTTAATGCTGGGAAAGACGATGGTGCTTGTCGGCGAACGCCAGTAGACGTACCTTTCGTAGAAAGTTGGGTTACAACTCCTATGAGTGAGTGCCAAAGAAGCGTGGATACGCACCTCTACGGACGGGAGGGTTGAGTGTCATTCCCCTTTGTAGCCGCTCGGCATTGCTCAGTCCTCGAGGACGAGTGATGGGAGCCCGAATAGAGTCACTCTTGAATATGACATTTTGAAGATCCTCTGAACAGTGTTCAGCCACACAGGGTCCAGTGGGGCGTTCAATTGGCGTCGCGAATGCAACAAAGCTTGCTGCAAGGACGGCGACAAGGGACAGAGCTGAACGCATTGCGTTCAAGTCGCAGGTGGGGATTAGGATCGATGGGTTGGCTCAACAAGGGATTCTTTCAACTTTGAAAAACAAATTGGACTTTGGTGGTGCTTTTCAGAAGTGAAGAGAAGCCAACATTATTCGGTTTAAGGGCAACGGGCGGAGTAACCAAGAGGGGCTCTTGATACAGGTAAGGCATACTCCGAGGCGATCCAGATGAAGAACAACTGGAAGATGGGAGACGTGTCTTAAATCTTGATTTGTCCTTGATCAGATCCAACGCAACCATTGTTAAGCTAGAGGCAGATTCCGAGTGTGAATCCAAGAATGGACGTCCTCAGCGGCGCCTCGAAACGTGGCGACCGGCACCAACACGGGTACAGATGCTTGCTTTTGTGATACGACACCGTCCTCGAACGCGCAGTTTCGTCTTCGCTCATTGCCATTGAAGAGAAGCACGCCGATGCTTGAAATCTTCATATGTACGTTTAATTGAAGGCGGAAGCAAAGTAGTCTGTCTAGAGCATGAGAATATGTCACCATGCATCACACTGGGTGCCAGGGTGAAGTCATGAATGGCAACCACGATATGAACTTTGAAGTGACGCCATTGGGATGGCCAAGATAGGTCAACAAGAGCAACTGATGGGCGGGTGAAACAGAAGCCACTGGCAGTGGAGTTGGTGACACCTTCGCAAGAAAGCGAGGGATCCAATGCAGAGGGAATTTGCAGAGAAAATCCTATGTCTTAGATCAAGACAAGGGAAAGGTATAACTAAACGAAGAGCTTGGCGCGAAAACTCCACAAGCAGTTCCCAAATCCAATCGGTCGAACGTTCGACGCTTCTTCGGCTTGATCAATAGGATTATATTCCACCTGAGCACATCTTACAAGAATGAGCTTGGGGTATCGCCAGAAACTGATTCGATGAAAGTGGCGTGGTCTCGGATACGCGATGACCAACAAGCGGTCAGCGACATCTTCGACGAATCGAAAGGAGGGATCCAAAGCAAAGGGTGGGGTGGGGAAATTCGATATCCTGTCTTAGATCATCAGACAAAGAGCACGGAGAAAACTCCACAACCAGTTCCCAATTGGAATCAATTAGACGTTCCTTCTTCGGCTTGATTGTGGGATCGTGTTCCACAACACGTCTGGCAAGAGTTAACATGAGGTATCACACTAGAACCTGATTCAACAGAAGCGTCATAGTGCGATGTGGTCTTGCGTACGGAACGATCAACAAGCAGTGGACAGAAGCCTTGAGTTGTATGCAGCGATCCTGACCGACAAGTGAATGAGATGACCCATCGTCATGCGGGTTCAAACTTACGTTCATCAACCGCCTCCCACAACCCGCAGAGCTTTTTGAGGTTGGGGCTGGGACCTATGCAATGGTTCATTCAGTGCGAGAAAAGTCAAGCCAGCTGCAAACTGCCACGTCGCTGAGCTTGTTCCGCGGCGTCACCGCGCGTTGAAGTGTTTGGCCAAAAATGAAATGGATGTGGCAGTAGATGACTGTAACATCTCGGCTATGGAACACGCCGGAATTGCACACGGCACAACCGGACTATCTGTCCCAATTTTACCTTGATCCGTGATGAGTAAGCTCGAGGAACGAGAGCATGCTCATATTAGGATAAGACAAGCTTTAGACCCGTGCCTCCGGTGCTGGTCACAGCTTGCCGGGGGCACGCCCCCTGGACCCCCTGGTACACATGTTTAATCTCAGTTTTGGTACACATTTTTTATCCCAGTTCATGTTTAATCCCACTTCTGGTACACATATTTAATCCCACTTTCAGTACACATACTTAGTTAGACTTAAACCTGGACTTATACTACAGCACTCACTTCACTCAGTCATGCCTTGCCAGAGGCAAGCTGTTCCTCCAGCACACATGTTTGTTTCCAGTTCTGGTACCCATCTCTAATCCCTGTTTTGTTACTTACACTTTATTTCACTTCATTTGAATTTTCAAAGATACACTTTAACCTACAGTGGCACTCATTGTACTTGGCCAGCTTGCCAGAGGCAAGCCCTTGGACTATCTGATACAATAGTGGAATGCAGAGTTGATGTCACAGCCACTAAAATGGGTCACGACAACTTGTCCGCTAAATCCCACAATACAGAAAATCTGTGAAAGTTGGACTTTGTATCGCTTTCTGTCTCGAGGGCCTAACCAATCAGGCAGACTTGGGGCAGACTTCAAATTGAGACATACTTTCCTGTTAAATTACCTCTATATGTGATGCCATACCTAATTTCTACATAACAAAGATACCATTCAGTAAGAAAGAGATTGAAATTTTCACACATTTTGGGAATTTTACAGTGTTCCTCAATGTAAAAGATCTGGTATGTACAGAGCTTGCCATGTGGCCATCAGGGATTTGAAACTCAGTCAAAGCTGTAGCAGGTGTGTCAATGGTCAGTTGTAGTGAGGGCATTTACCTGTTGGAGTTGATTCACTAAGGAAAGTTGTTGTGTGGTGAAAAAAAGCATAGTGTTGTGGCCACCACGTCAACTCTGCATTCCACTAATATAACAGTTGTGGTGTACATGTTGCTCAAAGTTACAGTTTCTGCACCTATGGTGTGGACCCCCAGTACACATGTTTAATTCCAGTTTTGGTACACATCTTTTATCCCAGTTCCAGTGCACATGTTTAATCCCACTTCTGGTACACATATTCAATCTCCATTCTGATACATATTCTTTATTCCAGATCTAGTGTATATCTTTCATCTGAATCATCAATGTTAGGCTTAGACCTGGACACAGCAATCACTTCGCTTGGCCATGCCTGAGGCAAGCTGTCCCCCCCAGTACATATGTTTATTCCAGTTCTGGTGCACATTTTCAATCTCTCTTTTTTTTTTTTTGGTGAAGCTATGTAGCATACAACAGTTAACAGTGTTATCCTTGTACGCAAGCATCAAGGACAGGGGATTGCACCCTGTTGGAAGAATGTCAACTCACCCCAAGGAATTGTGGCTAGGCAGGCTCACACTGGAGCAGTGTGGGACTCAGAGCAGCCACATTGTGTAAAGCTAGCAGTTGCAGCCTGGAGGCCACCCTACTCTCATACCCACTAAAACCCCAGCTTCTGGTACTTTCATCTTATTAAATTTGAAATTTTAAAATTATGCTCTGACCTGCACCTATGGTTTGGCACTCACTGCAGTTGGCCAGCTTGCCAAAGGGAAGTCCCTTGGACTATCTCATAAAAATCTGATAGCTGTGGTGTACATGTTTCTCAAAGTTATACTAATCCGTGTTTTGGTACTTACACTTTATTTGAAATTTTCAAAAATACACTTTAACCTGCAGCAGCCCTGGCTGCACTTGGCCAGCTTGTCAGGGCAAGCCCCCTGGACCTCCCAGTGCATATGTTCAATCCCAGTTCATTTTATCTTAATCATCAAAGTTAACCTGCCCTCATTCAAATTTTTATTCTAATCCAAATCATCAAAGTTACATTTAGATCCACACTTATATAGTCCTACATTTGGTACTGTAACTGCAGTCAGCAGTACAAAGCTGGCCATAATTTTTGATTTTTCAACACTATACCATGCACCATAAATTACAGTTCAGTAGGCCACTGATGAAAATCTGTAGAGCAACTAAAATCCACCTGAAATTTAATCAGCATAGATCTCAAAGTAGGAGAAATATACACTACTGTATGTAATCAGGAAGCTGGCCACCCTGGGAAGCTGGCCACTTATTTTCTGCAGCTTGTAGTGCACAAAATATCCAAAATTTTATATCATTGGAAAGCTTGAGATTAGGCCAATTGAGTGAAAATTTTAAAAAAATGAAAAGTGTCAATTTGAATACAAACTGGATGTGGCCAGCTTCCCAGTCAGGGCCGTGTTTATGGTCTTTTTACACCAAAAAAAAACACCACTGAGTCAATTTTCATTAAGAGGAGAAAAATGCCTAATGGAAAATGTCAAAAAAATGACACATAGTGCGAAACTCAGTCCTTAACTAGGACAATGAGTTAAGGTGGCCAGGTTCCCAATAAGGCACAGTAACAATGAAGTGGGGGGTAAAAAATAGTACAGAAAAAGCGAAATTGAGGCTGCTCAGAGAGGTGTGACCACAAAAACACTCACAAAAAATTAATGCAGGATCTTACTATTACAGAATGAGGTTGGGAGCTACCAATACAAAATGTTCTGTGGTTGTGGTCACACCGTGTGACATTCCCGGGAAACGCCGCTGACGCGGCTCAGTAAAAGACAAAGAGGCTGCTTACATGATCTATTACGTAATAACTGTCAACCGTCCTCTCTTTATATATTAGATAGATAATTTTTTGCGTCAGAACCAGACATTTACATGTACAAATAGTAATATATGTGTTTGGCCAAAAATGAAATGGATGTGGCAGTAGATGACTGTAACGTCTCGGCTAAAATGGAATACGCCGGAATTGCACACGGCACAACCGGACTATCTGTCCCAATTTTACCTTGACTGTTAAGTTACTCCGGGTGACTAAGCCGGGTCAACCATGCTTCCTAATCCGTAGCCGGACCGCTACAATGACGCAGCCTTGACTAGATACTAGAAATGTTTCTAGAAAAGGCTAAAAATAACCGAGCCTTGACCTTGATCATGGTATCGTAAGATATTTAACAGTGGTCCCATTCTTTCTTTCTTTCCACCACTATGTGGAATCCTATCACTGTCGGGCAATCTGCTACTCACCCGTTTACAGATTATTCTCGCTGGAGACTTCTCGTCAACGACGGTGGCAGACACACATGGCACTATCCCCGAACAGACGAGGAACTCGCCAACTGGCCTCAAAATACAGTTGATGAATTTTGGTTAGGTTTGAACACTGTACGTGGCGCGTTGATATAATCGAGACCTACATCTTACACGCTTCAAAGGGCCTACCAGAGCTTCCCCCGGCAAAGGACGCATACGAAGCTGCGCGAAACGGGTACGAGTTCTACAAGCACCTACAGGCTCATGACGGCCACTGGCCTGGAGAATATGGAGGCCCAATGTTCCTGCTTCCTGGCTTGGTAATAGGGTCCTATGTTAGCGGCATGGGATTCAAAGAGGAGGAGCGGTTGGAGATGATTCGGTATTTAATGAACCGTGCGCATCCCGAAGATGGAGGTTGGGGAATGTGAGTGCAATATCATTTGAAATCGACATCGTCAGGTCTTTCTTTGCGATTTCTTTCTTGCTCAAAAGAGACGCTGGGCTTCATGATCGCTCACACTTCATTTTCATATCCATGTAGAAGGCCATTCAACTGTCTTTGGCACTGGACTTAACTATGCTGCCATCCGTATACTCGGCCTTGATGCTGATCATCCTGTCTGCGTGAAAGCCCGTGCTACTCTTCATAAACTTGGTCTAGCCATTTTTCCCTACCACTCCGAGCTCCATTTGACAAAAATATACAGGTGGTGCAACAGCTATACCCGCATGGGGTAAATTCTGGCTATCAATTTTGAACTGCTACGACTGGGCAGGCAATAACCCTGTACCCCCTGAGTTGTGGTTTGATAACGTCTTTTGGACAGCAGACGTCCCACTAAAACACGTTATGTTAGGCTCCTGCCAGATTGGGTCCCATTCCACCCTCACCGATGGTGGATCCACACTCGCACTGTCTACGTCCCTATGAGCTATCTCTACGGCGTCAGATATACCATGGAAGAAAACGATCTCATTCTTTCTCTACGACAAGTACGTCCTCATCCCTGGGTAAGCTTGCTTCAAGCGATGAAATCTGATATTGCAATCAGGAATTATACCCACAAGACTACTATACCATCAACTGGCCCGCCCAACGAAACAACGTCTCAAAAGCCGACCTATATGCACCACACAGTGGGATCTTCGATGCTCTCAACGTTGTTCTATCAAGCTACGAACATTGTAACATTCCTCCCCTCCGACGCGCCGGCGTCGCCAAAGCCTATGAGCTCATCGTGCGTGAGGACGAGAACACGGAATACCAGACCCTCGGCCCTGTCTCGAAGATGTTCAACCTCATCGCTCGAGCACACGCTGAAGGCCCCGAGAGTTTCGCATACAAACAGCACGCTATCAAGCGGCAGGATTTTATGTGGATAGGTGCCGAGGGGATGATGATGTGTGGAACTAATGGGAGCCAGTTGTGGGATACGGGATTTATCACGCAGGCATTGGTGGAGACGGGCTTGGCGGATTTGGAGGAAAATAAGAAGGGGTTGATCAAGGCTCTCGAGTGGCTCAATGAGGCTCAAATCAGGGATAACCCGAAACACTATCATTCATCTTATAGGCACACGACTAAGGGTGCTTGGGGGTTTAGGTACGTTGGCTGGTGCATATCTCGTTGCCCTTTACTCACCACTGGGCAGCACGAAGGAACAAGGATACACTGTCAGCGATTGTACGGGAGAGGGCCTAAAGGCAGTCATGTACCTGCAACACGACCTTGAGTACGCGTCTCTTTGCGTTTTTTTTCTAAACCTGGATAATAAAAGTTGATAACCTAGCTTCACACCCAAACTTGTATCCGAGCGCAGAATGTGCGATGCTATCGACGTAATGCTGACTTTGCAAAACCCGAACGGTGGATTTGCAAGCTACGAGCTCATACGGGGTCCCTTTTGGATGGAAATCCTCAACCCTGCAGAAGTCTTCGGTGAGCGTTCTCCTTAGTTCGCACTGAATAGATGTTCATCCTCATGATACCAGGTGATATTATGATCGAGTACTGCTACCCCGAATGCACAACCTCTGTCCTCACATCCCTCGCCATCTTCAGGAAACACTACCCCCAATATCGTTCCAAGGACATCGAGTACGTTATTTCCTCTTCCAAATCACGCCTACTCCCTGATCTTACGCGTTCCCTCTTCGACAGGCGCACCTTGAAACATGCGATTGAATACCTCCACAATGCACAAAAGCCCGAAGGAGGCTGGGTGGGTTCCTGGGGGATCTGCTTCACCTACGCTACCCAATTTGCATTAGAGAGTCTCTCCCTCGTCGGTGAGACCTACGAGACAAGTCCGTATTCACGCAGAGCCTGTGAATTCTTGTTGAAGAAGCAGAGGAAGGATGGGGGGTGGGGTGAGAGCTATAAAGTCCGTCGTCTCTCTTGAGTCGGGCCTGATGCTAACAATGAATGAACAGTCGTGCGAGCAGAGCGCATGGGTCGAGCATGAGAACAGCCAAGTCGTGCAAACCTGCTGGGCGGTGATGTCCCTGATGTATGCCCGGTACCCATACCCCGAGCCCATCGAAAAAGGCGTGCGGCTTGTCATGTCGCGCCAACTTCCTGTAAGCTCCCGTCCTTTTTTCTTAGCTTCTTGCCTTCCCCCCTCCTTTTTTTTCACCGGAATGATTTTATTGACCCGATTCTCTAGAACGGCTCCTGGCCACAAGAAGCTATCGAAGGGGTATTCAACAAAACATGCGCTATTGCCTACCCCAATTTCAAGTTCTCGTTTCCAATATGGATGTTGGGCAAGGCGCACAAGTACCTAGCTGAGCTCAAGGGTGGGAGTGGGAGAAATGGGCTTTCGTCGAACGGAGTGAATGGATATCATTAAACTATCGTGTACTGGTTGACTCCCGTTCAACAAGCTCTGAATTATTGTCCAACTTTTGTGTACTATGACACGGCTTTCCTTTGTAGTGGTCTCGTTGAGCTCTTGTATCTGACCGAGATACCTTGGTCAACGGAGGTTGTTTGCAGCAACTACAACGATTGGCAACCCATTGAAATTGTAGAAGTTGATAGAACGCAACAAAGGTCGCAATAGAACGAACAAAACGACAAAGATAATTATGATAAGGGGAAAGCTGTTAACGACACCGGCCGGCGTTGTCGCTCAATCGAAACGGTATCACTGGGCTTCGGAGTAGGTCAGACTCGGCACTAAGTATCCCCACTGACATATGTTCCTTTTCTTCCTCCCTACCCTTCTCTCTTTTCTCCCGTTCTCGATCGGGCAAAGGTTTGGTGAAGGCAGTTGGTATAGGGCCTTCCTCAGAATGATGTGTGGCGATCTCCACAGGGTGTATGAGAATAAACTTTTCTCGCCCAGTTGAATATGGCTCAAAAGATTGTGAAACCAGCGGGAGCATTTCAACGGCATACTGGTAAAAAGCGGGCAAATTCAGCATTCAAGTGCTTTTGCCCGTCAATGAAGCACAGACATACCTCGACGCTAAACGGAAGAAACCTGCATGTCGGCTGTAAGTCCTTGGCGAGATGTATCTCGCCCTCCAATTTCCTCAGATACATTTCCTGGGTAGCACCATTTGCTGGGACCCACCAAACCGCCAACTCGACTTCGTCTATTTCCTCTATCATGTCCCCACGTTTGCCGTTGAAGAAAGGCATGCCTCCGGGATAGGACTTGGTGGGCGACGCAAAGGGATCACCGCTAAGTGTGCCGAAGGGAGATGATGGTTCATTTAGGACGGCGTCAGTGGTCGATGAAGCACCCGGGGTATAACGTACCCGCCGTGTGAGCCGGACGATGGGAGATTTGAGCGTCGAGAGAAGGTCCAGGGCATGAACGTCTAAGCATTCGAGGGTCAAGTAGCAAGGAATGACGGTGCCACGGGTATAACAGAGCTGAGAGAAGATTTGTTAATCCGTTGTTCAGACACCCTGAATTAGAGACGACGATAATCACTGGTTTGGCAAGTGAAAGTGTACATTCCACTTCTACCTCAGGCCGGCGTGGAAGCTTTCCATAAACCATGACTTTGGGCAGAGTTTGCCACCCATCTGGATCTGCCGCTGGTTCAGGAAGCGAAGAACCTTGAATATAGGCTTGCTGGCGAGCAACTGAAGCTAGGGGAGGGATAATGGAAGGTGTATAGACAACCGCCGTCTTCAATCTGAATAATTCTGTCAGCCAGAATGTCTTCAATAAGGTGGAATCAACCAACTTGCTAGCTGGGCGCAACATCCCATACGCAATATGTAAGCTTAGTTCATATTGCACGTTCGCACGGATTCCGCGCTCCAAAAAAGTTTGAGGGGTAGGATATACATGAACTGGCAAGCGGTTTGAAATGATGCCTTCAATTTGTGCCAGAATTCTGTCCTGTTCTTCTACTGCTCGTTTTAACCTTGCTTTCGAGTCTGACTCTTGTGGGGAGCTTGGCATAGAGAAGAAGCTACCTTGATTTCTCCGTCTGTCCTTGTTCAAGGAATTCTTTAGTTGCCCAGCGCCTCTCATGGAAATATACGCCGTTGACGCATCATCGGTGTTGGTGTCATTGCTGACCTGCGTAGATTGGGCTTTTTTCGAACCTGAAAAAAAAGTGGCATTCGCAGGTATACTTTGTGAACGGAAACGAGAAGTAGGTGGTGTGGTGGCATATAGAAGCGACCTTGACCTTGTCGGAGAAAGTGTAGCATCCGAAGGGCTCGAGTTGGACGATGTGCCAACAGGATCTTGGAATGGTGGAGGGAATGCAGTAGAAGTTGATATATCGACAAGGGTGGGAAATGGGAAAGCAAATGGGAATTGGTACGCCCCATTGAGTCTCCCATTGAACTTTTTCGTAGAGGCTTGGTCTCGGAAATGGGGATCCCCATCGGCGCGTGTCCAAATGCTAACGTGGTGGTCAAGAAATGTGTCAGTTCCTTCGGCAAGGTAACCTTTTATGACGCGTCCATGAAGCTAACGAAAAGAGTCAACATGAAGACCCCTTAAAATAAGCCATGGACCAACGGAGACAGTAATTGAGTTTATAGTCTGGGGGCTATCCAGTGTTAACTCGATCAGGCCCGCAACCATGTCGCCGCTCGAGAAGCGGGGGAAGTCCTGATGCCTTGACGAAGCCCCTAGGGACGGTTGGCTCAACACACGGAAGGTAACCCACGGCTTGTTCTTCAACCCGCTACATATATTGTATGTGCGTTCGGTGTGTGAAACTCCTTCTGTCGTGACTTGCTGGGCTGAAACGCCAAAGACGCTAGAATATCTGGGAGGGGCGGATGAATACCGAAGGGGCGACGGTGATGCGACGGACGCTCTAGCACTTCTGTTTTGATGGGACGCGTCCTTGACTGGGGGCGTTGTAATACCATCGTCACCATCGTCATCTGACATTGACTTCTGACTGCCCAGAGCTGAATATCGAGGTAGGTGCGTGTCAATGTTGTGGGAACAAGCCGTGGTTGTGATACGATGAGGAAATTTATTGAGAAACTTCGCGGTCAATGAGTGCTGCCGAGATGCTCGATGTTCTGGATCCATTTGTTATACGTTGCCTTTTTTGAAGAAGTGCGGAACTGAGAAAAGCTGGACATCTGTCCACCGTTGAACTGGTTGTTTCCTTTAAGTATGCGTTGAAGTGTGGATCCAGAAAGATAGCACATAATAATGTACGTGCCATGGCGATAAGATGTCAATCGACTTTCTACCACTCCCTCTTGAGTTCAGGTCAAGGGGGTTGTACACGCGTTTTTGCCTCGCCTTTGGGCGTCAGAAGGGAAGGAGAGCTTCAAAAACTCCAGTTCGGATGGTGGTGGAACAATAGACAGTGCGGCACATGATCGCAACGGTTGTACTATGTCCTCGTTGCCTCCAAATCCCTAATAAATTTTACGACACGCTCTTATGGTTTGTCTACGGCCGCAGAAGACTTTGTTCGACTAAGTCATTGCAAACTGGTCCTGGGCCAGCCTGGGACCTGGCCTGTTTTAGGCCAAAATCGTAAGTTGATGTTGACATTGACTTTTTTGAATATATCACAGAGTTGTTCACTATCACCCTCAGATTTGATACTGGTGACTGCGTGTACCGCTCTATGACACTTGAGGCAGGGTCCAATGTGTGATCTAGGCAAAGGTACCTCCATAATTGTCGACAGTTGTTGAATAATAAAGCTGATGTGCATCCCGAAAAAACAATAAGAACATTGAGCCAAGGGGGTTCAAGAATTTAAAAAAAGTAGCTGGGGTCGAATTTTTTTGTAAGGCCCTGTGTGCTTGGCCTACCTACCTACGTAATCAGGCACATGCCTATATATGGCAATATGACATCATCATCATGATCGCTCTGATCCTCTAAGGCTTCGCATACCCAATTTCGTGGGGCTATCTCCAATGCAACACATTGTAGGTGGTACTAAAAAATAGGTGAGTGTAGTGATTAACTTGTGCAAGACTGATACTCACCTGTTGAGTCTCACATCCAACCATTTTACCAAGCCATTGCATCCTGAGTGCAATACCACACCACACAGGCATCAGTTTAGAGTGTCTGATGTTACGAAAGCATCAAGATGATTCGAGTTTTGAAATCAGGTCACACAGCATACCCATTGGTGTCAAAAACTGGTCTCTAACTGTTTTGTCAGTAAATTGTGATTGATTAAAACATTAGACAAAAATTTGATCAAGATTAGACTGTGAAAAACAATTTTGAAGCCAGAAATTGGGCTGGATATAATGAAATATAATAACCAGTCAAGATAATGTACTATACAATGATATTCTAGATGCAGGAATACTGTAAATCACCTTGGAAAACCAATTTAGGACTATCTTGTAGAGGGTTCCAAAAATCTTTTTTTCGGCCTATGGCCGACCTACCTACCCAACCCCTGGTCCAGCATTCAGATCCCTGAACCCCCTTGCATTGAGCACATCGAGTGGTCATTTCCGTTATTTTATTCTTCAACATAATCTTCAGCTGAGTGGTGTTGCCATGGCTACCAAGGTTATTTCCCAAAGAAATTGTTTAGATATGTAAATTGAATGTGCTCAACATTCTTATTGTTCTTCATTTTGATCAGGTCCTTCGCCACCTGCGCGCCATCATCCCATGGCATGCCGCCGCATCAAGTCTATTAGGTACAAAATATCGGCATATCACCCAAACTCTGCGTGTCGGCTTAGTCGAGGTTGTTGCCCCGAGCCAGCCCAATCTGATGACCGATGAGGAGGTCATTCAAGAATTCTTGCGTAGACAACCCGCTTCATCGCCTGAAGCCCGGCGCATCTCTATTCAGAATATTATCAGGGAAAACCACACAAATAAGACGTTCCCTGGTACCCTCACGCAGAAGCGACCCTTATGGGGCTTTTTATATATTTCTCCCCTGGCTCACGTTCCGTCAATCATGGGGTCCAGATTGAGGATGTTAATCTTCGTCTTCTCAAAGAATTTGTTGAGCCGGTATGTTGTTTGTTGTTGTCCTTTCTTCCTCTGATGAAATTCTTGAATACAGGCAGCATCCAAGAAAGCCATCGCTGTTGGTAAAAAGTGCTGTTGGTGCTGTAACAGGCTCGGTCGCAGTCTTGGTGATATCAAGTTGCCCGGCTCACATGGGGTTTTATTCTCTTGGACTCCTCCTCGAGTGGGGGCCTTGAAGTCGCCGTTCTCCAAGCACTTGAGGACGATCTATGGCACGAACTAAACGAGGCTGTGCTGGAGAACATTCCCCGTGTTCATTCTCGTGAAAGCAGCCCGGATTTCGCGGAAGACCTAAGCTACGAAGTTCCTGGTAGAGTGATGACACAGTGGTTAAGAATCAAGATCAGTGATACCAACCCCCGAACGCAACTTCACCCTTCGAGCTCAAAATTGCTTTGACTGGTCCAAAGAAGGCAGGTGATCTTTGTGCACCAAATGTCATGGTTTCTACGCGAATGAAAGTCAACCTCATTGACTTTCATGAAGCAGGCAATGTGCTCAATACCCACTGCACCATCACCGGAGATCCACTGGCCACCAGCAGCTAACCCATCTGCTGTTATCGAGACCACCTACGACCTGTATATGTTATACCAAATATTAACAACCCCTGTATCCTTCATCGTTAGATACCAGCTGAACACAAATAGAAAAGCGTTGTTGCATCTGCTGCAGAAAACTTGAACTGAGACTAAAAACATACTGACGAAGCATCGTTCGTCAACCAAATATGTAATGTTTTGAAGCAAGTTGTTGAAGCTTGAAGTTCGTGTGTGTGTCACCATCACGTGTGAATCCAATTTGATGATGGTCTCTCCCATATATGCCCTACCATTTCTCATGAGCGGAGCGAACTAGAGAGCGTCAATCATCAGCTCCTTACCCCTCATCAATAGAACCGTACTCACGGTCAAGCTCCCACGTCCAAGAAGACCGATGGGATACCAGTACGACTGGAAAAAAAGAATGAGCAGGAACCATCTAGATGAACACACATTTGCGATGCTATCCGGATTCAGTTGAACGTCTTCGTTAGCTCCCCATTCAGGACCTTTCTCCAAGCGTGACCTAGTATCCACCAATTTGCCACCAATATTATTCCGTCGATGATAGACTATGAATAAACATTAGATAAGATCATGATGAGAGAGTAAAACGTCGTTTTCAGACCCACATGGGCGACATGGATGTCTTGTTCTCCTTCGCCAGACTCTAGGACAGCACCCTCAAACCGTGCTTTCCAGTCGCAATAGCGCTTGTAACGACATCACCTCTCAGACTAGCCGTTGCTCCAGTGAAAATAAGAATCCCCCTCTTTCCGTTCTCAATATCGTTCTCTTTGAAAGACAGTATAGCTTTCCGAGAGAACTTGGTGAAGGCGGAAGCGATGTTCGTCTGGAGAGAGGTTTGCACTTCCTCTGGGTTAACTTCAAGAAAGGGCTTCCATACTGCGTACCCCACACTGAAAACGGCGGCGCGGATGTTGTACTCTGGGGAAGGGTAGTGGTTTCGAATGGCACCACAGGCTGAGGCGATGCCTTGGACTGAGTAGCTTTCCGCGGCGAATGGCGCCGCCTGCTCTCTTGAGGTCCTGATCTCTTCAGAGAGCTTCTCGACTACGTCTTAAGTTACCGCGTGCGATGAGAGCAACGGTGAAACCTTTCTTGCGAACAGACGTCTGATAATTTGATGGATATCAGCAAATTAGCATTCTTCACAAGTGGCCTAAGTGCTTACGCAGTTGCAGCGCCAATCCCAGATCCATTTCCTAAACCTGTTCGATGCGTTTGTTTTGTCGAAGGCGGCCTTGAAAACGCGAGACGTAACTGAGGCGTTCCTGCAACTACTACGACGCGTCTCGCTGCTCGTGTGACCATTCTGTGCGTGTTTTACTTCGACAAGACTCCTTGTGGGTATGAGAAGACGGGAGACTGCCCATCTGGAGTCTTAAAGCGCCATTGAGACCAAGCAAGCACGTCATGAACAAGATTCGTCAGCTCTGCGTTTCTTGTCAGCAGATGGTTCAAGAGATCTCTGTTGTCATCTCCTTTCAGTTGGTGTAAGCCGTGCAGGGTAGACTTGGCATCGAGAAAAGGATGGTACCATGTCGATACGACTTTGAATGTCGATTGGAAGTTGCAAGAAGTACATAACAAATGTGCACGCTTTCAGCCAATTATTGGCATCGTTGCATCCTCTCATCCACAAGCGCGCACTGACTGGGCCAGTTATGTTGCCACTGCAGTGTGCAATATGTCTTCGAGCACGACCTTGAAGTTCCTGATGGTGACTCGTTGTTCCTTGAGCTTGTTCGATGACAACTTTCAATTTCCGCGACCACAGTACGCTACCCTCGACACAATGTCCACCTGCTCCTTTTTTTCCTCCCTCTCTTTCTTCCTTTTCCCTTGTTCTCGGTCAGACATAGGTTTGGTGAATGCACGTGGCACAGGGCCTTCCTCCGCATAACGTGTAGCGATCTCCACGGGCTGCACAAGAAGACACTGTTCGTCCTCGGAACAAGCTGGCACAAAGACGGACGAAACTAGTGGAAGCATTTCGACAGCATACTGGCAAAAAAAATGTGAATAACTTTGCGCCTGGTGTGTCAAAGAAATCATACCTCGACACTAAACGAAGGAAACCTGCACGTAGGCTGTAAGTCCTTGGCGAGATGTATCTCGCCCTCCAAAGCCTTCAGATACATATCCTGTGGAGCATCCTTAGGTGGGGCCCACCATACCGCCAACTCGATTTCGTCTACCTCCTTCGCGCCCCCACGTTTACCACCACCGATATTGATTTCTTTGCCTCTGGACAGGGAGGTTGAGAACCCAGCAGCAAGGGAGTCACCAGAAGTCGGTGGTTCGTTTGAGAAATTCTCAGTGGCTGGTGACGAATATTGGGCATAGCGGACCCGCCGTGTGAGCCGGACAAAGGGAGACTTGGGTGTTAAGAGAACGCTGAGAGCATGGGAATTTGAGCTTTCGAGGGTCAAGTAGCACGGAATGATGGTACCACGGGTATAACAAAGCTGAAAAAATCATGCTTCAATCATTTATCGGAGAAGAAGAGATAGTAAAATTTACGGGTTTGGCAAGTGAGAGAGTACATTCCACATCTACTTTTTGCTGGCCTAGAAGCTCCCCAGAAAGCGTAACTTTCGGGAGAGTTTGCCATCCGTCCGGATCTTGTGCTGGTCCAGGCAGCGGGGCATGTTCAGTATACGCTCGCTGGGGGAGGGGTGACAGAAGGTGTATAAACGATCGTCGTATTCAATCTAGTTGTCAGTTTCGTTAATCAAATGTTCTTTGAAACAGTGAAATCAATTTACTTGCTAGCCGGGTGCAGCATCCCGTGCGCAACATGTAAGCCAAGCTCGTATTGCACGTTCGCATGGATGCCACGCTCCAAGAAAGTTTGAGGAACAGGAAATACATGCATTGGAAAGGTGTGACTGCGGCCTTCACGTTGTGCCAGAGCTCGGTCCTGCTCCTCTGCTGCTCGGTCTTGCTCCTCTACTGCTCGTTTCAGTCTCGCCTTCTCTGACTCTTCTGGGGCGTTCGTACTCAAGTGCACAGATGAGGGGTTCTTCGAACCTGAAGAATAAGTGGCATTCGCGGGTATACTGAGTGAATGGAAGCGTGAACCAGGTGGCACGGTGGCAGGTGGAAACGAAATCGATGTTGTTGCTGTCGCAGGACTCGAACTGGATGTAGAGATAGAGTCCGAAGAAGTTTGCAATGACGGTGGGAGGAACGGAGTAGAAGTCGATATATCTACATGGGTGGGGAAGGGGAATACAAAGGGGAACTGGTACGTCCCCTTAAGTCTTCCATTGAACTTTTTGTTGGACCCTGGTTCTGGGGAACGGGGATCCCCATCGGCGCGTGTCCAGATGCCGACTTGGTGGTCAAGAAATGTGTCGGATTCTTCGGCAAGGTAACCTCTTATGATGCGCCCATGGACCTAACATAAAGGATCAGTACGTTGTGCATCCCTAGAAGATGAATCTAAACCCACGGAGACAGTGATAGAGTTGACAGTCTGAGGGCTATCCAGCGTGAACTCAATCAAACCCGCAATTATATTGCCACTTGAGAAGCGGGGGAACTTCTGGTGTCTTGGTGAAGCATCGAGCGGAGGTTGGCTGAATACACGTAACGTAGCCCATGGCTTGTTCTTCAACCCACTGCAGATGCTGTATGTGTGTTCGGTGTGCGAAACCCCTTCTTCTGTGACTTGCTGGGACAGAACGTCGAACAGGTGAGAATATCGAGGAGGAACGAATGAATATCGAGGGGGTACTGATGCAACCGAAACCCTACGATTGCTATTCTCTGAATGGGAAACGCCCCCAGCTAAGGTCCCAGTATCGCTATCGTCAGCTTGCGAATGAGTGAGTTCCCTGTGCGCGCCAAGATCGTCGCCCCAGAGGGCAACAGTGTCAGTCTCCTGGTCTAACACCGAATACTGAGGTAGGAGTGTATTAATAGTGTCAAGAGAAGCTGTAGAGGTACGATTATGAAATCTTCCAAGAAGTTGAACGCCTAAAGGCAAAGGAGAGTCGTCACAAGGGGGTAGAGAGTGCAGATTTTGAGATGCTCGATGACCAGCCATTCGCTAAAGGGTGAAACTTGACGAGATGAGCTGCTTTCACCTAAGACAGCCTTTTAAGCTGTACGAAATCGGCGCCCTGCTCTTCAGCGATGTGCTTGCCATCATGATTCGACAAAAGGAGTCCTGAGCGGCATGCGGAGGTGACCAACCATCTCCACAAAACAGATGGTGTGTGGGCACACAGGAACCGTGAAGCATCCACTCCCAAACAAGAAACAATAAGGAAGGCTCCTCAGGTTGTCCTAGGGTTGGCTTCAGGCGCTGCGTGGGTGAAACGGTAGTGCGTGAAGGGGAGAGACGGCCAGGGGTTGTTTCATTGAAATGACCAGCCCCCCGCAGATGCGGATCGCAATCTATTGCAAACCTGTTTGAGCGATATAAAGGGAGTCGTGCGGTTTGTAAGTTTTGAACTTTGTGGTAAATGTGATGTCAGTACAGAGACTTCTGGAGTCTCGGGTCGCATCAGGAGCGTATACAAGATGATACGACGAGTCGGAACTTCTCTTTGAAGATCGCAATTGTATCTCCAACTGGACCTCTCCAACAAACACGCAGTCCATTGTTCAAGCCATTGATTAGAATAGAGGATTCGGTCACCAGTGTTGCCGTTGATAAGCTTAAGAAATCTTCTTTCAAAGCTCAAGTTGCACACAAAAGGTCCTTGACTCGCAAGCCATCCGGTATTTTGCGTAGCCAGGTTATAAAGAGGTATAACAGATAGGGAAACCAAGATCACAAGGAGGCGGGATCGAAGGTGCGCCTCGTGTAATGATGTCATCGCTGAAGAACAAGCTTCTAGGGATAGAATGTCGCAAGCATACATGAGAAATCAGCGCTCAGCCTTATCAGCAGAATGTTAGACAATACTCAGAAGATGGTGCCATCTGATTTTTGTCAATAGTGGCTGAGAACACGAGTAACTATTGTTCTCCTGGACAATAGGTTGAAAATCCTGGGATGACAGCGACCAAACAGCGATCACTGGCAGCTGCAGAAGTAGATAGCCGTTTTTGGACTTCTGTTGGCATGAATGATGACGCCGAATTCGTAGTAGGTAGTAGAGGAAAGAACGAACAAGGATGTCGTGTATGTTGGGTGTGAGCAATGAACAAGGCGTAAGACGAGGACAAGGCTTTTCATCGAGAGAGGAGGGATGTTTGTTTGTGTGGGCACCTTGTTCTAAAATTACATCACCGCTTCATCTCTTACCTCGGTGACCATGTGCAATTCTAAGCTAGTCTGCAGCGTGCCCTATTCATTGTACTCGTCAATGAGGAACAATAGCCTGCAAAGCTATAAATCCCAGACAATTCAATACCTCAAAGTTCATAGCAAGTACTTGCTACTGCGCCCATTGGCATCCACATCCTACGCGATCCTTGCGCGAGCCAATCTATACCACATTTTATAACGATCATCCCTACCACCATCATGTTGACCAACGGAACCCTCGCAATTGCCATCGTCAAGCGTCAAGTCATGGTCGTCCAAGGTACTTCATTTCCCCCAGTTCTTTTTTTACAACATCTCTGACAGTGAATCTCCATCACAGCTACCCGCTCCCACACAAAATGCGACAAATACTTAGACGTCAACACCTTCTCCCTCTTCGGCGACGGTGTCTTCCTCGCCTCAGACGTCCCAAAAGCGCGCATCGCGTCCTCTGACGTCCTCACCGTCTTCCCATCCACTCACGTCCCCTCGCAGGGCTTGCTCGAGCTGCCCAAACAAGCGTTCTCCGAGTTTGTCGAGATCAGCTCTCGGTACCAGAAGCGATACGAGAGTCTTTGGAATTCGTGGATTTCTAAACATTGATTCGCTTTGGGTCCTCTCACATACTGCACCTTCGATAGGTGTATACTTCGCCATGATTACCTGCCATATCCACGACTTGCACCAGCTTATACCCGCACACACAACTTGGCTTCTGACAACCACTTGTAGCTTTAGGATTTGATTTTACTGTATCGTTAGCTCAGTTCCAACTGTATCACTACCGCCTCTCTGTACTATGTAAACCATATACACCCATATGCCCTATGCACATTTATGCGTTTATTCGTGTGAGGAGAAATGTGTGCAATATAAACAAGAAAAGCTACATTGACGAAGATGGATGGTGATTATACAACAGTTGCGATGCTTAAGCGGGATAGCTGGATTGTATCTGATAACCGACGCGAGATGGATGACCATACACAAAAAATCCGACAAAGCACACGGGGTACAGCAATGGGGAGGAGAGATAGTGGATAGAAAAGAATAGGGGGGAACATAAGATAATTTAACAGTAGTATAACTTAACGTGCGCTTAACACGCTTGTGTTGCATATGGGTCTCGATAAATCTACAGTCACAAAATCAGCGTCTGAAGTTGAAAGAAGACCACAAATAACCAACCTTGATGTCCCAAATATTTCCAATCTTCTTATCCCCCTCAGGCGCCTGCCCGTCCATACCCTCATCCTCGTCGTCATCCGGGATAATTGTATCCTGCGGCACCCTATCTGCGTCCGACTCGAGTTTTAGTCCCTGCTCGTTCGCCAAATGCAGTAAGCAGATAAAACAGAAACTCGTGCTGATCTCTTCCATCTTGTCCTTCGGGTACGACTTTTGTAACCCCGATATGACCTGGCTGAACTGTCGAGATTCGTTCGGGTTTGTTGGTTGTGGGCCAGGAGCCTCGTCTACGTCCTGTTCGTCATAATCATCAACTTCCTCTCTTTTTGGCTGCGCAAAAGGAAGAAAAAAGACAAACCATGCTCTCGTCTTCTTCCTTGTCATCATCCAACTTTGTCTTCGCAATCACAATATCCAAACCCTTCCATATATTCTCCTTCAATTTCCTAACATCCACACGCTTCGCCCTCTTCGCGTAATTAACGGCCTCCGGACGGACACGGCGAGTTTGGCCCTGAGTAGCAGCAAGCAGGTCCTGTTCGCCTGCATCTGTGTCCGGCACGCCAACGCCATCAAAGCCGTCGTCGAAGCCGGGCCCATCGTCGTAGTCGTCTTGGAAAAACTGAGTGTTGAATGGGACAGCACCTCCAGCTATGATTTGACGTTAGTCCATGTGCATTTTGGAAGCAACTTAGAAACTTACTTTCATCCCCATCATGGTCATCATCAGCGGCAGCTTGACCCGCAGCAGCCTGTGCCCAGAAATTCTCATCGACCTCCCCATCGCCATTCTCGTTCAACTTGGCTTTCCTTCCACGCATTTTCAACTGTAACCAAGTTAAGAAACACTCCCACAAAAAGACGAGGGAAAAGACATACGAAGAATTTAGGCTTCAAAAACAACGTGACAAGCTGCCGACTTGAGAAGTGCATATCATCGGGTAACCGATGTTCGTCCTTCTTTTCCTTTTTCTTCTTACTCTTCCTTGCTCCAGGGCCCGTACCAGGTAAGTTAATCCCGGCACCTTTACCTGTCACAGGAGCGAAGAGCTCCTTGCTAATCTCCTTGAGATCTTTCACAGGGGGAGTGAGAAAGTCGATTTTGGCGACTTCCTTCTTTTGGCGCGTTTTGGTCGCTTTCGTTGCAGCAGTTCCTTCTGCGTCAGCTGTTCGAATTCTTTTCAGTATGGGATATATTTGGTACAAGAAAAACAACATACGTCGGCGAATGACTTTTCTCAATTTCCAATGTTCGGGGCCAGCCCAGTTCTTGAGCAAGTTTTGGTCAAAGTAATCGAGAGCACCGCTCTCTCCGTCCGCGCCAGTCATCGCCAGAACCAAATCGCGCTCGTTCGGTAACCTGCGAGGATCAAAGGGCACGAAAGGCCCTGGCTGGCCTCCCTCACCGTCTCCCCCAGGACCTACGGAGCCATTGGAGTGTTGATCCCCTCCAAAGTCTTCGCCACCCATATCGCCGCCTCCGCCGTAATCTTCCCCACCAATGGCGTCGGCTCCGCTGAAGAAATCCTCGACGGGGGCACCACCACCGCCGTCGACGTCCATTTGGAAGTCACCATTCCCGCCTGCATTGTCGTCATCGTCATCATCATCGTCCCGGGGGTTGTCTTGGAAGAAGGTGGTATCATCGAAAGTAAAGGCGTCTTTGGCGAAGGAAAAGTCTGCTAGGGAATGTGAGATGGCTTTATCCTCTAGAACAGATAGGTCTGGCATGAATTCCTCTAAAAACATGAAAAGTCAGAAAATTTTTCTAAAATTAGCTTGAAACCTACTGCGCAAGTAACTGAGGTCTACTTCGTCTTCGGGTTCATCCATGTTATCTCCTTCCTCGACTTTGAATACTGAATCACTCGCGTCAAAAATGACCCGCATGCCTCCATCACCACCTAGTCCCAAGCTCAAATGATTCATCAACAGCCCATGAGCGCCTCCCTCGTCAAAATCGGCACAGGTCTTTTTAAACAGCGGGTCAACGCTGAACTCGAGATCTGGTTTTTTATTCCTCAGTTGCTCGGCATCTTTAGCCAAAGTGGCCCCAGGCCTCTGCGTCTTTTTCTTCTTCTTTGGCTGGGAAGGGTCTGCATCAGGGTTGTCAGAGTCGCCCTCCTCCCCATCGTTGTCTCTTCCCCCAGAAGCGAATTGCTCAAGAGCTTGCCCGTCTCGGTACCGACGCTGTCCACGCGGCTTGTCCAGATCTTGACACACCCGTCGAGCGTACACGACGCGCGTTGAAAGTTGATAGAGTTATCGTCTGTGTTCCTCAACAATGACATGTCATGGAAATAATCAATCAGAGCCGTGTTCCATGAATTGGCGGCGTTAATTTTCTTTTCGCGTTAATGAGTCAAAATGCTCTAATGAAGAGAGTGGAAAGGAACGTACGTTATCGGTTGCCATTTTCATCCATTCCTCAAAGTTGGAGCTCATAATTTCCCGAGGGAGGTTGAGCAGCGATGTAGGATCCACGGAATTGAGCTGCTGTTTCTGCTTTGCCGCCCTCGAACCCTCTGGCGCATCATTCGCAGCAGTACCCTCCGACGACGGCCCAGCCGTGGCGTTCTCCACAACCGTAATCTTGGTACTCTTCCTCCTCCTCCGTTTCTCCGCAGCGTCGTCGTTAATATTGACAGATCTCAGGGGTACACGCGCACCCGCCGCGTCTTGGACAAAACTGGCATCGTTATCAGGGTTATACACCTCGCTGAGCCGTTTCCTGATACCAGACCTCTGTGGTCTCGGTGTTTCTTGCTCAGTCTCCGGATCGGACTCGTTGTCGGAATCGGTGGGTAAGCGAGCTCGACGCGCAGGAGCCATTCTGGAAGTCTTCAACAAAGGTTGTGAGAGCACGTGATCAAACTACCTCGCGTTGTTTGTCTCGACGATACTTGCCAAACAACACCATGGATCCTTTCAATGGCGCTACGACTTCTTTGCCTGTCCCGGAGAGCTTTCAAGCGCCTCAGCGGACAGGGACGACGGCTTTATGGACCCATCTTCTCAGGAAAGACGCGCAGGCGTCCAATAACATTGGAATTATACCACCAATTGCCCCTATTGATAAAAACGCGACGACGATCCGTGTGCTGCTGCATGATACGCAGGCCAACTTCGAAGCGTTCTCTGCGAGAGTCGACAAATTAATCAACGTCGTAGAAGAAACGAAACGAGAGATCAAGGCGACAAGCACATTATTCGAACGCGAGCATGATACCCTCATCGGAGATGTCATTGATCTAGGTGCGCCCGTCTGGCTTGAACTATGCGCATACATCTTTTGCTGACTACACTTATCTCTAGTGAATCGAAGTCAGAAGGAAATTCAAAAGTCAATTGGGTCCCCAACACAAGCCCCGGCCATAGACGCCTTTTTCAAGGACGTCGACCAACGACTAGAGGGGTTGAATCAGCGCCTCGATGCCGCTCATGCTGTATGAATACATGCTTATCTCGTCTTCGACATTCTTAACCTGAACATATTCTCTATTCTTCGTTTTCAAGTTTAACCAAACTCACTCACAGGCTCTTCAAACACAGATGCAAGCCATACTAACTCTCCAGGAACAGCAAGGGACGATCCTAGCTTCTGTATTACCCTTACTACCCCTCGTTCAATCTATTCCGCTTCATTTGGAGTCTCTCAAATCTGACCTTCGTGCTGCTGTTCAAGCTGAAGCCGTTTCTATAACACCTAAAGCTTCGATTGGATTCAACCAAGACCAAACACTCCCGTTGGCCAAAAAAAGAACTCACTCTGATGTTGATGTAGACGCCAATTTTTCTTCGCCCATGTCTTCCCTGTTGACGGCCAAGCGGGCGCGTCTCGAGAATGCGGCGGAAGCTCCAGAAACTATATCAGCCGGAAGGGATTCGGAAACCGAGGCACTCCGCCCAGCAATGTCGTCTCCAGATAAAGAACCGCCCAAATCTTTGATCGTCACTTCTCTCCTAAAACAGCTCCAAAGGACTTCAACGTCTCCTACCGGACTTGTCAACACCTTGTCTGCCTCTCTTGGTAACGCAACACCTCGTCGGCCCCTCGCAGATATCTCCCTGGCACAACTCGAGCGTCCTCCCTCTATCGCAGGCCGCCTATCAAGTCGTTCGAACACTTTGTTATCTAGGGCTTCATCACCTCTCGTGCTTGGAATAACACCGTCTGCTACGCGCCCACCACGCATGCTACGAGTCCACACGTCGACCTCAGGATCAGCTCGCGATAGAAATGCACCCACAGGCTCATACAAAACAAACTCGGCAACTGCAGCGATCCCGGCTCTACTCACAGAAAAACCCAAATCCTCTGCAAGCAATGGGAATCTGCTACTGACCTCCGCGCTGAAAACGCCTGTTCGCGCTCCTTCTGCTGCTCCTATACACCCTCAAAAGTCAACTCCGCTGAAGAGTACACCACGTCATCCAGTTCCCGAACCGCCCTCAAGTTCAAATTTCACCGAACCTCCTCAGTCGGAGATTCCAACGACAACCAAAGCCTCAGCCATGTGTCCTCCCCGCCCTCGACCAATTCGCAAAAATACTCAAGCTCCAAAGCCTGACATAGTTCCAAATACTCCCATGCTTCCAGCTCAAGAAAAAACTCCTTTCACTGATGGGGCGATCAAGAGCTCGCCAATTATTAACCTTGCGGAGGGACAAAGAGAACGACGGTCGCCTTTCGTGAGTTCTATCATATCTTCGCCTTCCCATACTTCATCAATGTCAGCAGAGAGCAGGGAGGCGGTTTATTCCTCTTGTGGACACGGACGAGGAAGATGAGGATGAGTGAAGCAGTAGAATTGGTGTACATTTGTAGAGTGCTTCAATGTTCAATTGATTCAAGTCCTCCCAAACTGGAAAGCTACTCTTGCAGATGTCCTATCCAAATCTCAACAGGGGCACCGCCAGCTCCCACTCTCTCGCCAACTTTCTCAAACTCTACCCCAATTTCAGCTGCCATATCCCATAACGTCCTTTCAGCTGCGTCTCTCTCCTTGTATCCCAACAGGATCGCAGGCGGTTTAGAGCCCAAGCGCAATAGCTTATCGAGAGTCCGAATGAGCGAGGGAAATGACGCGGTGTTGTATGTGACGTCGGCCATCCTAACAGAGATCATATCAGTTGTGTTGAAGGGACAGTCGGGGAAAGGGTGCCAACACAATGGCGTCAAGCCCGTCTTCGAGGCCGGTGACATCTTCTGGGAGGTCTTTGTCGTCCCAGTCTAGTACGACGGCTTTTGGAGATGTCATAAATGTGTGCTGATTATTTGAGATGTTTTGTTCGAGGAGAGGCATTGCAGACGCTATCATGAACTTTGTCATTACAATGGGCCCATGAGGAAGCAAGAAACTCACAAACGTCGGTGGCGATGATGTTATCAGCGGGATTACTTGCAGATCGTAATGCTGCAATCGTAATCGCAACAAGGCCCGTTCCCGCTCCTAGAACGCAGAGTTGGATTAATTTGACGACGAAATGAGCTCGACACTCGCCTAGTTCCAGAATTTTACGACGTTCAGAGGAAAACAAAGCGTCCCTCATCTGTCTGACGGCGGCACTATCCGAATCTGAATCGGTACGATTGTAAAGGCCAACCAACCAAGAGCTTAATCCAATCCCACTATCCCAGATTTTCTAAAACGCTCTAAACAGCATCAGAAATCGTTCTTTCTATGAGTATGATTAATGCTCACCTTATCGAGGTCAAACGAGGTCTGCTCCGTGATTTTTAAATCCATGGGCAGATTACCATCATCTGATTCTGCTCTTGGGAACCTATACACCCTCTCGACGTGTTCCTGCTTCTGTGCTCCCTTCCCACACCGCGCCGTGAACAAAATGGGCATAGACATAACAGGAAACGGATGCCTCCCGACACCACCGTCCGCCATATCGATCTCCAGCACCTTTTGAGCGTTCGCCGGTGTCCCAGTCAACAAAAGCCGCCAGTACTGTCCTTCGCGCACATTCGGTGGCATAGGCACAGGAATCTCTTTATACGCGTTAGCTTGTCGCCATGTAGTCAGTTTACGAGGTGACGTTGTGATTATTGGATCTGAATTCCTTGTCGCGTTTGGGATTTTTTGGGGTGGGTGTTCTTGAGACCAGAGGTAGAATATGTCTTGTGAGTCTTCGAATGACTCCGTGCGCAAGTCATTGGCTATTTGAGGCGCAATAACTATGTTACTGTAGGGCGCTGCTTGGCAAGGAGGGGGACGGAGGAAGGAGATGTAGAAAAACATGAGCGATGCTATCAACTTCAGATAACCGTGGCACAGCCACCAATGACGTCTCTCTCCTTCTCTCCTTAATAACTGGCATGCCAGCGCCTGTTGAGCGCGTTCTGCACAAGGTCCTTTCGTGTAATTGTTTGGCTTGACAAAAGGCGATAGGTATGCGACACTCCGGCGTCAAAGAGCGCTGGCTGTGCTTCCGGTTTAAAACCCTCTCTTCAACCTCTCCTCTCAAAACTGCTCAAGCATCTCTCTCATGGAATTTTCATACTCATCGCGGCAAACTGGACTGCTTCATCGCAATAGGCAGCACCCTAACCGCTTGCAAGCCAAATTCGCGAGGGCATGCATTTAAATCTGTTGAAGCTATCCCTTTGTAATTTTCTGTTTTGATTAACAGATGAGAAATGCAGCCAGCGGCGACGGGTCTGTCTCTCCGTTCATCACTGTCTGTTTCGTAAATGGAGACGACCCCACCGCTGTTCGTCGCCTTTTCACGTCTCATCTGAAAAGCTGTCCCTTACTTCATACCTAACAGAATGGTTTACCACCTCTGCGATCAGTCGCCGATATCGATAATCTTTCGGAAGCAGACGCCATGGCCTATCTTACAGGTTATGGTTTCAATGACGTCCCAGATGATGTAGTTACAAGACGCGGTCTTATCAAGATTGCCATTGGCTGTAGGCCATTATAACGTTCATCGTTTATCTCTCCCTCAGGTTAATGTTCTCATGCAATTGCTACTTGGAGCAGCTTTTGAAGCGCTCGAAAGGTTGCAGATCCCTCGTACGTTGGTACGCGAAACGCCGCGTCATCTGCTTCACGAAGTGTGATTGGTACCATTCGACTAAGACTACCAATGAGGATGAACTATTTCACTTTCTATGTCGTTGCAAGATATACCATGAGTTCCCACACAAATGACATTTATGATTGCAGTTTGCAGGGGGATGTCTTGCGTGCATTCTCCTTGACACTCCAGAACCGTGTGCCACAATCATTGTGGCACACGGTTCTGGAGTGTCAAGGAGAATGATTCTGTGCTTTTCACCAGTCGGCAAACATATAAGTCTTCTGTTATTCCAAAGTTTTCTTAAAGCTACCTCACACAGTACCTGGTCATCAATGTCGCAAAGGCATGAAAATCAAATTTTGCAATACCCCTCTGATAGCATTTTGCTTGACAGGCAATTAACGCATTCAGCGTCTCTGGTTTGACCAGTCCGTATATCATCGTTCCGTTCAAAAACGGAGATGGTTCCACCACCGTCCTTCCTATTTTTCTGTCTCTCCTGCATTGCTCTCCCTTACGTTATATCAAAACATAAAGTTCTAGAATCGGACATCGCTATCAATAATCTTTCAGCAGCAGACGCCCCTGCCTATCTCATAGGACATGGTTTTGACGACGTTTTACATGACGCAGATAAACGACGCCACCTTGTCAAGCTTACAATAGGCAGTAGGTCAATATTTTGAGTTTGTCACTTTTTTTCTCTCTTCAAGTTACAGAAGTTGTTCTTATGCGTAGGCACCACAGGTACTGACTGCCGTCAGCATCTTTCATATCATTGGGATGGCCGCAATTTGTGCAGTGAAGCTATAGCCGGCACAGCGGGGTGCCATCTGCATCAGGATACCGATAAACTGGCGTACTTACACCTTCATCCCCGTTTTGCAGTCTGTCATGATGGCGACGTACGAGTGACGAATGTGCCGTTTGCAAAGAAGATGCCTCCGCTCGCGTTTTGACGTTTGAAGTTGAACTTCCCCCGTCAAACCTTCATGCACATGCGTCACATTGCCATGCTTATTGCTCAAATGCACCTTTACAGTGATTTGTGGATTCTACTAATGATGGTACATCTTGCCCAGGCCTATTTTAACCGCTGAATTAGGTTGGCTATGGTGAACATTCACGATTAGCCCATGGTGACAGCGAGCTTTTTTACGATGAGCTCTGATTGCCCAAACGAGATTCTACTGCCCAGGTCACCTGTACGTAGTTTCTCCCTACGTTCCGCTTGCTCTTGACATACTAATTTGAGTTCAAATTTAAGTTTGACCATTGTAGGCGTCTCGCAGCTGTTGTCGTTGGCCAGCTTCTCGTGCTGTAAAATGGAGAAGACTCAAGTTGGGCGCCGCGTAGCTGTGACGCCCTGTTGAATCAGGATGGCGACCCACGAGGATGTTCACTGTGTCTCTATCTATGGCAACTCTTGGTCTTTCACTGCATAAAAGCCCGACATCGACATGTTATTACATGTACTGCCCCCAGCTCTCTGGGCCCATCTTACTTGCCTACCACTTGATTCACCAATCGCATCGATTTCCGCACAATGCGTCTTTTTGCCAGCCTCGCCGTCCTTGTCCCCCTCGTCGTCTCCGTTGTCGCTGCGCCTGCCATGGCTCCCTTCGATCAGCTCTTCTACAATGTTGGAGACATTACCGTGCTACTTTCACGTGCTAGCGCCGTCGCAGCGTCCATCAACCTCAAAACAATTCCAGTAAGTGGAATGCTTGCTCACCCATTCAAAGACAAGCTTAGTTTTGACTTCCCCGTTTAGGACTTCATGTCTTCATTGAAGCGTTGATCTCCAGCTCGAAGAAGCTGGAGGTCGATGTCAAGGTAAGCCAGCCCTTGCTTCAGATCACATTCAACAGGCGATGACGACTTTGTTTAGAACGCTGCAGCCCCAACCTCTACTCAGGCTACCGCCATTGTCGAGGCTGTGCGGGAGACTTTGGTTCCTATATATGCCGACACGATTGCTGAAATCGTAAAAGCTAAACCCACTATCGTTGCAATCAACCATTTACCAGACGTGGTTGACGTCTTGAAGTCCTTTATATCAGTGTTTGTGGATGCTTTCACGGAGTTCATCAACCATTTGCCTGTATGCTGTATCTGATTGTGAAGTCAATTATGCGCTGAACATCCTTCATTGTAGCCCAGTGCGTACGCGAACAACTTGAGACTCGCGATTGACTTCGAGACGAGCTACATCACTAAAACTTACGTCGACGAGTCCTAAAGCAACTTGTCCAAAGACATGCGTTTTTTGTGTATTAGTTAGAATGTCTTTTCTGTACTTGCATCATGGAGATCCTTTCAAGCGTTGAGTGGTGGTATAAATTATGACGATTGCGTACATTACTTCTGTCATGTCTTTTGGTCAGAAGGATATTGAATCTCCAAAGTCCGTCTAATATGATTCCAGATCGTGGGACCATACGCGTAATACGCAACCCCAAATGCTGCGCCTCCCAAGTGTGCCCAATGATCCAAATACCTACGAGCGAGGTCCAGTCAGCACTGACAAGACAATCAGCAATTTTGACGGTAGCGTACCTCCATCCTCGAAGAATGCCAATCATGTCTAGCGCGACCAACCCTCCAACACCCCACTGTATGTTAATTGGGTAAGAGGGAGGGATGAACAAAGCAATTTGAGAATCTGGGAACGCAAGTGCAGTCGTCGTCACCGCGGCGTAAATTGCCCCAGAGGCACCGAGGCTTGGGAGGATTTCGGGAACCTTTTTCTTTGCCACAGTAGATGCGGTAGCAGAGGCAGCGGCGACTGCACTAGCCCAAGTGTCAGCCTTCGGTACCGCTTGGCTGGAGGTGGCAAGCTGAGCAACCAGTCGTGGATAACGGAACTTGGCGTTGACGACGTGAGATACTAGACCCGAGAATAATCCAGCTTTTGTCGTCGAGGTCAGTTAAAATGGCATGAGAACTTGAAAGTTGAAGCCGAAAGTACCTGATACGAAGAACGCAAGAAAGTGGTAGGCAGCTGCCAGTGTCGACTCCAGCATTTGTGGCTCAGCTTTCCCTTGCTCCCTGAGAAGATAAAAGTACGCTGCAGATCCTGGGATATTTTTTTTTGAGAAAGCCTACTTTCGAATGGAAATGAGATTTACCAAAGCTCTCTAATGCTAGGCAATTAAACAAGAGGTAGAAGAAAGATCGGTGACTGTCAATTAACCATTCAGAACAGGTAGAATAAGATCGACAAGAAACCTACCTGAACATGCTCGTCAGGAGAGTGAAGGATAGTCCAGAAAGAGGATTATGCATGAAGCGAATGGACATGGGGCCTTGCCACCGCCGAACCTTCCACGCCACCCACACAGCTGCATTAAGCAGACAAATTTTCCAGCACAGTCGCTTTCCCTCAGAGGCATCTGCGTAGGGCTGCAAGACTGACACAAAAGCCAGTCCAACCCAGGGACGAATTAATCCCGGCATCTCCTGAAGCCTCAAATTAAGTCCAGCGAACCATTCCCTGAGGTCCTAAACGACTCGATCGGTCTGAACGCGTACTTCTCAGAGAGAAAAGAACTCACTTTAATGACCTCTACATTTTGGGCTCGTTTCAGATCGGTACTTGTGAGGCTCTGGAGAGAAGCGAGTCAGTGACGTCACTCGAGTGACCGAGAATTCTGATAATCAGCGTACAGGTTCAAATCGTATTTTTCGGTTCTTGGGTTATATTACATATAAACTTGGCGTATCACCAATGGTCTACAAAAGTGCGCGCATACAGAGTGGGCAAAAAAGGCGCGCATACAGGAGGCAAAAAGTGCGCGCATACAGGGAGGTATAAGGTGGCAAAAAGTGCGCGCATACAGGGATTCAAAAGTGGCGGTCTGTGAATGTAAACCGGTCCCAGGCTTCTCTAGTCCTTGTTGATTATCACTATAAGTTCTTCGACGTAACGGGAGCGACAAGTCCTCACTCACCAGTCAAGTGCTCTAGTTCATGACGGTACAGGAGTGAGTGCTTCATTGATATATTGCTGGGCACCTGCGTCGGTCGAAGCAAGCAGGGACTCCATTTTTTGATCGGATTCGTGCGTTCCAAGCAGGTAGAGCTTGTAAACAGGGAGTTTTCGCGTGAGGGCATCTACTTGCTCGGTTTCATACCAATCCGCCGTGCCTGAACGCTTTAATCCGCGGACTGTATATTGTGCTGGCGAGAACGGTCCATAGTTTACGTGAGTCCAGTAGGGGCCGACGAACAGCATAAAGGGCATTGGTGTTGTGATCTCGTGTTTGCCCTTGAATGCGGCTTTTGCCTGCCAGGTCCATACCCTGAATGTGGGCAACGTGAAAGTTATGTCTAACGTCGGGGTCTAATTCGATATCGGCCGGGTGTGGTAGGTTTTGCATAATAGGCATCATCCTCTTTGATTCGCAACCAGTCCGAAGTTTGACGCGGGGCGAGGTATGAGTGAAGTGCCCAAGCCAGATGTCACAGATCTCCATTCGTCTGTCCTTGCGGCGGTGCCGCGCACCGCGTTTCCAACGGAGAGAAAATTGTGGCATTATGAAGAAGCGGTGACTTGGGACCTTGTGTTGTTCGAGAAACATTACAATGATAGCATAGAAGACGTTTTCAAGGGCTGTTGGGTCCTGAACAGATTGGACAAGAGCATGACGCAAGTAAGGGCCGAGCGTGTCGGGCAGAATTGACATTTTCGAACGGGGTGTAAATTTTCGAAACAAATTGACCTTTGCTGTATTGCGGGGGACGAGAAGTTGTTGTTGTTCTCTGGGGACACGCTCCCAGCCTTAAGTGACAGTGATCACGACACCGCAAAATATTATGACGTCATTAATGTCATGTGAGTAAATTGGCTTGTGATAAACAGGTACTTACATAACGTGACGCTACAGTCGAGGTTGCTTCAACTCCTTCCTATTACTTAGGCTCGTGACCAGCCTGTATATGAGAACTGTATATCGCAGGACTTTCTTCATATACAGACGGTCACCGGTCTACCTATTACTTACTTACGTTCTCTGCATATCAGAAGATGGTGAGCCACTTATTTTATACTCGTATCATCTGCGTCTCACAGCTGCGAGGGAAGGTGTTCATCAAAGGATTTAAATTTGACAAGCACAAGATCGCAGCTCGATACCAGGGCAAGGTAGACGGTCCAGACGACATACGAGTCGAAGCCATCATTAGACAAGTAATGTTCGATATCTATGAAGCGTCTGACATCGAACTCGAGTTCCGCGTCGGGAATATCATTGATGGGTCGACTATCTTCATTGTATATGATGAAGACGACGATCAGGCGGCGTTGGAGGCATGCGAACTGGGACCAGTCGAGGAGTTTATTTGGGCGGCGGAAAAATATTATATAACGGGGCCGCATGTTTGGGAGATTAAGGAACGATGGTAGAAGGCTTATTGCTACTCATGCATCATGTCTCAGTTATGACACCGACACTTCGATAGATATGGACTTTTTCTTGCTCAACTCTTGCTCTCACCGCGAAATACGTTCAAAGTGGAATGGTCATTTGATTAGCATAATCGATAGCAACTCGATTGCAAGGCAAGTTAGACGGTCCAGATGACCTACAAATCGAAAACATCATCAGACAAGTTATGACTTCTACGGAACTTTTGAATATGACCTTGTCTTCCGCGTCGGAAGGACTGTTGATGGGGTCGCTATCTTCATTGTGTATGATGACGATGACGATCGGGGGGAGCTGGAGGCACGCTAGCTGGAACCTGTCGAGGAGATTATTTGAGCGGCGGAACGACATTTTATAACAGGGCCGGCGCCCTCTGGGAGATTGAAGAAGTGTCACGATAGATACGGACTTGTTCTTCTTCACTCTTTCTCCCACTCGGAGGCGAAGCCCATAAATTCGCAGACAGAATCTCGAACACGTTACACAAGGGGAGGTTCATCTTGCAACCTGGTTCACACACGCGTCATAGTGCAATGTGCCAGTGGTCTTGCGTACGGAACGAGGTCATGCGGATTCCCCAACTTCGAGAGGTGGCAATCTGCAAAAATGGCACAGTGAGAACAGTAATTCTGTTGGGAAAATTGAAGCGCACATTCAAGTGAGATAATGGACTGCGCATAAAAGGGTCATAGAGGGAAAAAAGTCGCGAAGGGGCACTTTCAAGGGGGCTCGTTGCATCACGAACACTCGCATGTCATATGATGAATATGAACGAAGCCGCCCCTTAGGCGAGCGCGGTCCCCAGTTTCTGACGATAACCGATAGCCGTTCAAGGTGGGTTAAAGGGACTCTGACTTACGGGGTCGTGAATCTCAACAATATTTTTGGCAGAAAGAGCTTGAAGAGAGCATGAATATTTGCCGTCATCTAAAGCTTCTGACTTGAGTAAATGAGGTCGTCAACACAATCCCCATGGAGGAATTGAGAGGGACTGAAAGACATCAATCTATCACCTCTAGTCAAACTTCCCTCATTTCACCTTGAATCTCCTCAATCTTGAAATCTTCATCATCCTCATCAACTGAAGGTGAAGGTGCTGGGGGCGGACCCGCGTCAGTCTGATCTAACTCATCCAACTCCTCTGCCTCGGCGATCTTAAGTTCGTCGCCATGGATAAGCTGCACAAGCCTCTCAATATGTTCAGAGATCTGTTCATTGTCTTTAATAGATGATCGAAACAAGTCAAGAAAGAGAGAGGCACCTTGTCGACCGTCTCTGCCATATGTGCTGCACGCACGATCTCGTAACGCCGTGTTGACGGAGGTAATCACGTCCCCAGCGAGTGTGGCATAGCAAATGCAGGGTTTCTACGGGTGTGAGCCGGATAGTGGAGTCGGACTTGCGAGTTTTCGTGGGCGGTAGGAACTGGAGTGGTTCGAGAAGCTTTTCTTGATCCTGTCCTTGGAGTTGACGTAAGTAAGAATACAAACGTAAAAAGTGGATACGAACGTTGAGTTCGAATTCTTCGGGTCCGAGAGCAACAAGTAGGGGAGGGCATCGATTCCACGTGACTGGAGCTTGGAGGGGGTGACGGAGACTAGGGCGGATTCAGGGCTGAGGATCGCTTTCTGGCCTGCTGCGTGGAAGGAGCAGTCCCTTTAATAGAGAAGGGTGAGACCGGATGAAGGTAGGCTGCTGTTACACGTACTTGATTGTAGATGCGACGCCACCTCTACGAATGATGTTTTTGTGCTCAGTGAACGGCACAAGTTTTGCGAGGGCGTACTCTAGATTGACTTCTGGCTTGAAGACGTTGGTAGGTTGCGGCGAAAGAAAAAAATTGCGGCCCGTAGGTGACTGAAAGAGTGTAGGGTAAGTATATGATGTTGTTTCAAGACAAGGACACACGACAGAATCGAGCAGAAGCTTCGTGTCTATAAACGCTGTTGAATAACACGGCCAAGGAATATGCCAAAGTGAGTGTAATAATGATAATTTCGGCTGCTATGATACGCAATATGATTAAGTCCCAAGAACGGCTCGCCGGAATCGAAAGAAAAAAGCGAAGGGCGAAAAACAGCAAGCAAGTCGAAAATGTACGGCGGCAAGAAAGAACAAAAACTTGAGTCAAACGTCAATCACTCACACACAACTCACGACTCGCTCTAATTAGTCTCTCCCTTCCATAAGCTCGCTCCGTCGGTCCTGCGAATACCCGTCGTCGTCTTCGCTCTCGTCTTCAAAGAGTCTTCACCGGCCACTTGGGGAGGGATGTTTTGCCATTCTGACCCTTCATATGGAGTTTTCGAAAACGTCTTCTTATCTGTCACAGAGCTTAGCAACCAGCGTCAGTCAAGAGAAATGAACCCCCACCAGCTTGGCGTACACGAGCCCACAAGCATTGCATAGTGTACGAGGTCCTGAAAATAATATATCAACGATAAAATTCCTGCTGCGAATAAGATGAAAATCCTTACCCATCGGTCCCCGTCTCCACTCTGGCGTAGAGGTAGCATTACAGCCCAAACAAGTCTGGCCTTCCTGAACCGTGTCATCTACTTTCTGATAACTAGAAATCGAAGCCATCTCCACAAGCTCGCTCCATAGGTCCTGCGAATACCCGTCGTCGTCTTTGCTCTCGCCTTTCAAAGAGTCGTCACCAGTAGCTTGGGGAGGAATATGTTTGCCATTCTGACCCTTCATCATGTTGATTTTTTCTCGAAAACGTTTTTTTATCTGAACAACAGCAGCTTAGCAACCAGCGTCAATCAGGAGCATTAAAAACCCACCATCTTGGCGTACACGAGCCCACAAGCATTGCATAGTGTACGAGGTCCTGGAAATGATATATATCAACAAAAAGATTTGCTGTGAATAGGGTGTAAATCCTTACCCATCGGTCCCCGTCTCCACTCTGGCGTAGAGGTAGCATAGTTTATTCATACATTTTGCCGCTAAGTTCCTGAACAAGTCGGGGGCAAGAAAGCAAAGCGAAAGCAGATACTTAGCAAGGTGGAGTGGCATCGTGTATACGGATATCCAAATAGGTCCAAAGCGCCTCGGCGAACAATCATAGCAATACAAGATGAGGGGGAAGAACGCAATGACGACACGGAGGTTAGATTACACCCGAAGAGGAGCCGGACCCGGAAGAGCACAGAACTGGTGAGGAGAGTATTAGCCGTTAGAAAGCTGTAGGTACATATAGAAGCACCTGTGAGGGATGATATGGATGATATGTGGCTTCTTGGACCGTGTCATCTACTGGAGTGTTAGGATATTGAACAAGCTGGCCACATATTGTGCAAATCTCGCAATGACTGGGGTATTGGTGAGCAATGACAATACTCTTTGACACATCTGCTGTGAGGGTTATCTCTTCGCGAAGATACCCAGGACAACGATGGGAAAGCCATTTATGAGGCGACGCTGTAATACGACGTAGGGGAGAGTATGCTGAGGATGCCCAAATGCGATCCAGGTAGTCCTCAAAACGGCCCACTATAGACTCGAGGCTTCGATTGTTTGCACTTTCGTCAAGTTTCCACCGCACCTCACGCCGAGGAATGTTATGAGATGTTCGCACATCCGTCGAGCTCAAAATGTCCCCAGCGACATTTAAGTGGCCTTCCCAATTAGTTTGAACGACCCTTGAGTAAGTTTCGACTGAGTCATCGGCGTCAAGTTCCCTCTCTGGAGAATCGTCTGTCATTGAATTTCAGCGGCTGTAAAAAGCTTGGACATAAATGTCGTACCATAGAGGATGGAGTTGACCTCCGAAAACAGCTTGAGTGGGAGAAAATGCTTTGTCTCAGCGATGGATAGGTTTGTCTACCGTAGAAAGAGCACGAACTTTCTGACAGAGCCCGCTCAATATTTCAGTCCCACCCCTGTGGTCTTCTGGATGGTAAAAAGATGGAGCCAGATGGGGTCCACGAGCCGTGGTGTCCGGGAAGTGAATTGAAAGAACCGGCTCATCGCTGCCACTAGCAAAGATGTCGAAGTTCTGATCCCCGGAAGTAAGAGTCTTCTCAGTGCGAAAGCCTAACCTTATAAGCTCACCTCCCATTTCAGATTGCTAACTATGCCCTTAGATAAAAGGTTCTGAGACTCCAGGTAACTCAGTCCTGCCTATTATACCAGAAAACATACTTCAGACAAGCCATGACTGAAACAGAGCCATCCATACCGCGAGCCCTTTGACCTGGTGTCATTTCCGTGATTAAGCCATATTACCATTGCCAACAAGGTAACTGACCGTTCTCATCGATAGCTGAACACTCTTATTCAAATCGGCACACAACGCTTTGGCTAACAACGAGTTCATTTTTCTGTCAGATACTGATATCCCGATTCCCCATGAGTATGGTGTGTTGAAGAGAATGCTAGAAACTCACTTCCATGAAAAACGATGAATGGACTTTCTGTTCCGTTTTCGCCAGAAATCCCAACAATTTTTGGAACATTAGGCTGGCTGGGTTTTGAGCCAGTCATTAGAAGATACGAAAGATAGTAGATGTTATTCACAAAAAGTTTTTAGCCAAAGTAAGATTGAACTTCCAACTCTGCAAGAATTACGATTAATAAATCTCAGAGTGAAATGGGGATGTTTTTACCTGCTTAGCTCGAGGACCATGGAAAACCTTGACCGCCACAATGCGCCCTTCGTAGATCGCCGAGTGTGTGCAATGATTCGAACCACTTGTTAGTTGTCTTTGCAAGTCTATGTCCTTTGGATGTACAGTCTGTGTAACGGAAAAGAAATTAGTCAAGGGAAATGATTCATGGCAAGAAACGAACCATCAGGCCGTCCGGACTCGGAATTTCATCGCGAACTTCTTCAAATCTCTTTCTGGGTCCATCTGCTTCCGCATCGCCTTTGTCGAGATCACGCTCTTTCCGTTTCCCCAGTAATTGTGTTGTAATGCGCTCTGGACACTGCGTTCAATAAGGTCATGGAAGCATTGAAATTCCGAACCAACCTGTAGATTCTGCAGGTATTGCGAAGTGGATGTTGAAGTCCCCACCAACTTGATACAGATGACTGTCGTTGATGGTAAAACCTGAGGCACGGGGGAAGAAGGGCATGCGGTTCATCACCATAGGTGCAAGACAAGCGTGAGAGAATGCGAAGCGTCATTACATAGAACATGAGGAGGACAGCCACAGTCCAAATCATCATATTGTGCTGTCTCCCCAATGTCCGCATTCTTCGTTCTGACAACTACTAAGGCGGAGACATGTCCCTCCTCACCCTACCAAGCTTCAAGCTCAAGCTTGAAGCACCAGTACTCAGTGTCGATGTAATGACCAGCTGGCCCTTGTTGTGCTGGAAACACTGACTGTCCTTTCATCGTCGCCAGGAAGTCATGGTGAGGAACACACTTCAGCTGAGGACACACTTCTTCTCACCTCTCCACCACAGTCTTGGTCCTCGGGAAAATACCCGCTATTGAACACGAATTCGACGCGCTTGTCATGTTTGTCTTGAATCCACTTCCCCAATCTTACCATCTATGAATCAATAAATTTTAGAGGCGCTGGTGGCTGCTGGTGGTGTCTGAAGATGATCGGCAGTGGCATATGTATGATACTGTGGGCGCCTTACCACATATTACTTGGTAGCTTGGTCTTCTGATGTTTCTCCCTGTAGGTCAAAGAATCCGACTGGCTTGGTGACCGAGACGCAATCCACTACATCATGTACATGTGTAGAGAAGCTCCTCACACTGTCAGTGAGGAGCCATTATTTTCCCATAAGTACCCTCAATTGATTGAATTTCACCCAAACAGCTTGGACACTACGACGTGCTGTGCTCGCACACACAAGAGGGAAAAATCGCTTTTGGTGGACAATCTTCGAAATACGGAAAAGGAGGCCAGGCCTATCGTTGCGCACCCGCCGCTGACTGTAAACCCAGGAAATTTAAACTCAAGCCCCCTCCTATAAACTTGATCTTTTGGGAACACACAAATCCGGTGAAAATTTTGAGTTCGTGACCAGGTGTATTGCAGGGGACGGGAAGAAGAAGAGGTTCGTTCTATTGCCGCGCTGCAACCCGCGAAATATCATGACATCATGCGAGCGGTACGAGGCTGAAACTTACTGGCCGAGTCTCAACTCCTTTCCGTCATAACGTTCTTTGCACTTCACAAGATGGTGAGCCACTTGTTTTACTCGAGTATCATCTGCGTCTCACAGTTGCAAGGAAAGGTATTCATCAAAGGCTTCAGATTTGACAAACACAAGATCGCAACTCGATACCGAGACAAAGTAGACGGTCCAGACGACATACGAGTCCAAACCATCATAAGACAAGTAATGTGCGATATCCACGAAACGTCTGAATACGACCTCGATTTCCGCGTCGGGACTATCATTGATGGGTCGACTATTTTCATTGTGTATGATCAAGACGACAATCAAGCGGCGTTGGAGGCACGCGAGCTGGGACCAGTCGAGGAGTTTATTTGGGCGGCGGAACGAGATTTTATAACGGGGCCGTTTGTGTGGGAGATTGCGGACCTATGGTAGAAGGATCATTGCTACTCGTGCATCATGTCTCAGTTATGACACCGACACCTCGATAGATATGGACTTGTTATTGCTCAATTGTGAAAGAAATTCAAGGTGGAATGGAGATTTGATTGGCATAAGATCGCAACTCGATTGCAAGGCAAGGTAGACGGTCCAGACGACCTACAATTTGAGACCATCATCAGACAAGTTATGATATCTACGGAGCTTCTGAACATGACCTTTGTCTTCCGCATTGGATTTGTTCGTGGAACTTGGAGGAGGTGAATTTGCTCAAATTTACGCAGATAGAATCTCAACACGAGGGGGGGTTCGCCTTGCAGGGGTGAAGATGAGGTATCACACCAGCACTTGAACCAACAGAAGCGTCATAATACGATGGGGCCTGGGAACGATCAACGAGCAGTGGACAAAAGCCTTGCACTGATCCTGAGCGACAGTGAATGAGGTCGTGCGGAGTCCCCAACTTCGAGAGGGGTCAATCTGAAAAAAAAACGTCAAGGCAAGAACAGCAGTGCTATTGGGAGAACTGTAACGCACATTCAGGTGAGATAATGGGCCCTTGAAGAAGAACGTGTATGTTCTGCGCGTAAAGGCATCTTCAGATCATGTTGCCAATGCCGCTGGCTGGATAACATCTTGGAGAAACACGTCCACTGATGACCTTTCTCGGTTCAAGTTTGACCTGAAGACCATTCGGTCGATAAATCAAGTATCTTTGATCCAAGGTTGAACTATCTTTCGGACGAGCCACGGAGCAGAAGGTTCCTGACGGGTAAGTAAGAGGTCAGAAAGGAACCAAAAGAGTCGCGAAGAGGGAGCGCGATCCCTGTTCTGAGGATATAGGACAGTGTTTAAGGGAAGCACTACGATCAAAGGAGCTTCAAAGTAAAGCCCGTTCGTTCTGCCAAAAAATACGTGGACTGACGCCAGGCAAACTAAAATTGTACTGAAGGGGCTCACAGAATGCTCCATCATGCGCTTTAGATGGGTGGTAACGTTGCAAAATGCCTTGCAGATAGATTACACATACACAAATAAAACACGGGGTATGACAGTCGAAAAAAGGGAGGGGAAGGCTCACGCTGCCGCTGCGACAGGCGTTGAGGGTGGTTCTATTTTGGCAGCTCTTGCCTCCTGCTTCTTATCCTCGACTTTCTTCTGCAACCTTTCCACATCGGCCAAAAATGTGAGCAGTTCCTATTCAATTCCTACACGTCAGCGTACGATAGAATGCAGGGTGGAGGAAAAACGAACCGCATTGTGGGGCTCAAAAGAAAGTCCCAAACGGATAGCATCAGCTGATTCTTGGAGACGGTGTAAACCAAGGAGCGCCTTTGCTTTGCGGAAGTGGCCTTTACTCCAATTCCGGCGGATGGCGATGACGGTTTCGGCGTCGGCTAGTGCGGAGACGTAGTCGTGCACGTCGTAATAAGCTGCGGATCTGTTGGAGACGACGGTTGTGAGTTCCTCACGCATGAGGGCGTTTGTTTCCCATGGAGGTCTCTGCACGGCGAGTTGGGCAGCGGCGGTGTAGCGGGTTAGTGCTTGTTGTGCGTGGCCTGCTTTGAACAGGTTCTATATTTCCATGGTTAGATGTGTTGTAGGGAAGGAGGGAGAGGAAAGACGTACATTCCCTTCGTCTTTCGTGCTGACGACCATCTGCGTAAGCTTCTGTGTGACGACATTGTTTGGAGGGGGACAGAGAAGGTTGGGGTTCTGGACTAGGAGTTGGGCGAGGCGGTTGGTGTTGACGAAGTTTACGTTGCAGGGGTCGCATTTTTCGAGACGGTGGCGAGCACAGAGAGCAATGTGGGCGTCTGGGCCGAGAGCAATTGGGACCGGGATGAAGTCCTGGTCTATGAGGGCTTGAAGTGCGGGATCTGGAGTGGGCAATGCGGGTGATTGTGGTGCATCTGAGTGTGAGCAGGATTGACCTGGTCCGTGGGTGTGTCCGTGCGACATACTGAGAGTAATGGTGAGGTGTAAATTATGATCGTGGCAGTAAAGTGATCAGGAGCGTGATCGTGTGAATATTTGTCATCCGTTCCAAAAGCAAATTTCGTCAAGTCGCCGTCTCTTTGATCTACCCCATCATCATCCTTTAGAACAACCATCTCCTTTCCTTTCTTTTCGTTCGAATACTTTCACGAAAGAAAAAAAACAACTTATCAACCAACAAAAAATCACCTTTACTCTTCCACCTAATATGACAAATGGTCTTGTAAACGGCAACATGGGTATCGAGAGCCAATTTGGTTCGTATTTTTCTTAAATTTTCACACTGGCGAGATTTTCATTTTGCTGCAGCGTCTCTTGGTCTCACCAAATCTGCTTATGTTCCTCCACACATGAGGAATACGCAGCGGGCTGCTTCCTCTCCCATTGTATCCAACGGGCAAGTATATACGTCTCTCAGCACAGCCGACACATTTCTGACTCATCCATAGTAGAACCGGCTGGACTGATTCCCGCACTTCAACCCCTCCTCCTGCCGCCCGCGGCGGTTTTGAGTCAAGGGGAGGAGGCTACTCTGATAGAGGTCGAGGCGCTTTTTCTAATTCTCGTGTCGCCAGCGGTGGAGCCTCCAACTGGGCTGGCCCAACATCTACCCCAAATTGGGCTGCTGCTTCGCCACGCCCTACCAATGACTCCAACATCTCCCAAGGCTACGGCGCATGGAAGGATGGCAAGCATGTCGTGGGCCCCCGTCACCTGCGCATGGAGAAGGAGCTATTCGGCGATGCCGCTGATCCCTCTAAACAGCACACTGGCATCAACTTTGAAAAGTACGACGATATTCCCGTCGAGGCTACCGGTGCTGGTGTACCCGAGCCCGTACTCTCTTTCACCAGCCCTCCTTTGGATCCCGTTTTGTTGGAGAATATTGGCTTCGCCATGTATACGACTCCTACTCCCGTTCAAAAGTATTCCATCCCTATCGTAGCTGGAGGGAGGGACTTGATGGCTTGTGCTCAGGTAAGGGTTCCGTCATTGTCGCTTGATGACGTTGTAATCTGATTTTAATCACTTGCAGACCGGTTCCGGTAAAACAGGTGGCTTCCTCTTCCCCATTCTCTCTGCTTCTTTCGCCGAAGGCCCTCGCCCTCCCCCAGCACAGTCTTCTGCAGGGGGCTACGGTCGTGCTCGCAAAGCTTATCCTACCGCTCTGATCCTCGCCCCCACCCGTGAGCTTGTCTCCCAGATTCATGACGAGGCACGGAAGTTCGCGTATCGGTCCTGGGTTCGCCCTGCCGTCGTCTACGGTGGCGCCGATATCAATCAACAACTCCGCCTTATCGAACGTGGTTGTGACCTCCTTAGCGCCACACCGGGCCGTCTTGTTGACTTGATCGAACGTGGTCGCATCAGCCTCGCCAACATCAAGTATCTCGTCCTTGACGAGGCCGATCGCATGCTTGACATGGGTTTCGAACCCCAGATCAGGCGTATTGTTCAGGGAGAGGATATGCCCAGCACTGCGGACCGTCAAACCCTCATGTTCAGTGCTACATTCCCCAGAGACATTCAGATGCTTGCCAAGGACTTTTTGAAGGATTATGTCTTCTTGAGCGTTGGAAGAGTTGGAAGCACATCCGAAAACATCACTCAGAAGATCGAGTATGTTGAGGATCTCGATAAGAGGAGCGTCTTGCTTGACATTCTCGCTTCTCAACCCAAGGAGGACCTCGGGCTCACTCTTGTGTTCGTCGAAACAAAGAGGATGGCGGACATGTTGAGCGACTTCTTGATGGGCAACAACCTCCCTGCTACCTCCATCCACGGTGATCGTACCCAACGCGAACGAGAGATGGCTCTCCAGACTTTTAGAACTGGCAGGACTCCCATCATGGTAGCTACGGCCGTTGCTGCCCGTGGACTTGACATTCCCAACGTCACCCATGTCGTCAACTATGATTTGCCCAGCGACATTGACGACTACGTCCATCGCATTGGACGTACCGGCCGCGCGGGTAACACTGGTGTCAGCACTGCGTTCTTCAACCGTGGCAATAAGAACATCGTCCGAGATCTCGTTGAGCTGCTTAGGGAGGCTAACCAGGAAATCCCTAGTTGGCTGGAGACGGTCGCTCATGAAGCGTCCTTTGGCAGTGGAGGATATAGGGGCGGCCGTGGTGGAGGACGTGGACGTGGTGGTGGTAGGGGAGCTGGTGGTAGGGATTATAGGGCCCCCAGTGCAGGTGGTGGTGGGTTTGGCGGTGGGGTTGGAGGTGCCAAGGCGTACGGTGGTGGTGGACCTTCTTATGGAGGCTATGGTGGTGGAGGAGGTGGTGGTGGCGGGTATGGTGGAGGTGGAGGCTATTCGTCAGCAGGTGGAGGTGGTCAGCAAGGGTGGTGGTAATTTGCCAACATCTTTATGCAGCCTCTTGCTTTTAAAAAACGAATAAAACCTCAAAAAAATCGATCCTCCTTCACTTCTCTACCCGGCTTCCCCTCCCCATTGACGACCTTGACCGACGATCCTCATCCCAACCTTCACTGTCCCACCCTCTCCAACCTCGACCGACCTGGATTTTACGACTCATGCGCTGCAACTTGCTCTTAACGAAAGCTCAAACCTCATTTTCCAAACTCTCGACCTCATTTTCACTTCCGTCTCGTCTCGAACTTTATTTTTGCTCGTACCACGAATGCATGGCACAGAAGAACCGCTGTATGAAAAAGACTGTGGGATTAGAAACGACGCTCCCCCATTGGAGGATAAAAAGTACACGATAATATCTTTCGACTGGAGGATACGATAATATCCGCCGACGACCAATCGCACAAACACCTAATACCAGCCCACTTTTTATCAAGATCCATCCATCATATCCTACTCCTTCAATTCATGCAGTTATCTAGACGCGCAGGGGCTTTTTTTTTCGCCAAGTTTATCACTCAATTAATACGAAGCCCCCCAAGAATTCAACATTTGCATGGACGAGCAAAGCATATTATATCATCAACAGCATTATCAGCATCCCACATCCATCGTCACTCATCATCATCATCAGTCCACAACTGTTCGCGATACATTTCTTGTTCCTTTCTCTTCATATACCTGGGTACCACCAACCCCACCGCTTTCTGCATTGTCATCACTTTATAATGTATTGCGACACATCCGAACACCCACCTTATCATTGGACTGATACCCACCCCCATCACACCAACCGCCCTCTCTCTGTAGATGTTGATTTTTCTCTCGAGATTCGAGACCGAGACGATACTTTTTCTTTTCTTTTCTTTTTTATGATCACGGACTGTTATTTGACATATCGTTTTTTACATGTAGAGCATTCGCATCGCATCGCACGCACGCACGCATCCATCCCCCTCAGCCAGCTGTATGATTTAGGTCAATTTCCCACCTCGAGAACTCTTTTTTTTGCCTCTTTCGTCCGTCCTGTGTTCGGTTTTCGGTTGATACGAATCGTCATATGCTTTCCTCTATGCTAGCTTAGATATATATTCTGTTCGTGTGTATGAAGAGTTAGTCTAGGTTCATGTGTGGGGTCTGAACCGTGGTACAGATATTCGGTATCAGTTGCCACACGTGCCAACCACTCAATGCCAAATAGCACGCTCGCGTCAACTAATTAGCAGTTTATTACGCGTCTGCAGCCTTATTTCTTCATCTGTCCTTTACAAAATCCATTCTACCATAGTTTTAGATAGTTTTACACGTTGTTAAACTGTAAGACCTCAAACTTTGTAGGGTCACGACCGTGCGAGCCTGCGAAGTGGTTGCTGCATCCTGATCTGAAAGTCCTTGAAGAGTATTGATAATGGTGCTATAAGCTGGCATTTCTCCAATCCGGCTGCCGTAAGCAAAGAGGTCGACCGGTGCAGAGGACGCGAAGTGACCACGCGCGAGAGGCAATACTTAATCGAGCCTCGTTGTTATGTGCGAAGTTCAGTGTCAAAAACAACGGCTGGTGCTTCTGTACAACATCGGCTGCCTGTGACACCATAGTAGAGCCTACATCTGCCCATTGGACCGTATCTGACACTATCTTCTGTTTGGAAGAGGCATGCAGTCCATTCCCCCCCCCCACCTTCAAGCTTCAACGCTTACTTGGCCAACCTAACCAACTTCTTCTCGATAAGCTGCGCGGAAAACGAGGTCAAGGCGGCCCAAACAGGTTTGATCTCGGTATAGGGTGTGTGTCGATGGGAACTCTCCGACAGCATCCAATGCATCGAATAGACTGTTTAATTTGTCGCGTTTCGTTTGGCAGGGCATGCGTTGCCTTGGTGTTGCCGTAGTGTTGTTGGCGCTTCACCTGGAGTGGACTGCAAAGCCGTATGTAGACCCTTTTTCGGTGGAGCTGATGACGCGGATGACAAGTTTTCGTCTTGCTCTTCTCGAGATCGTTTCTCGGTGAGAGGTGGTGATATTAGTAAGACTCAAGTCACGCGGTGGCTGTGATATATCGCCTTATAAGGCAATAGTCGACAACCTTGAATTTGAATGTGGGTACCGCGGTTTGATGGGCGCGCGTGAAATCAGACCATATATCACTGTCGACTTCCCTTCCCCTTAAAAGAGACAAACGTGATATTTATAGGGCTGACTACGGGAGACTAATGAAGAGTGAACCTGCGTGAAAGAAATCCCAAAGATCGGCAAGGTGTACTTCGTGTTCCTGGCTATTCCCGCTCCTTTGATCCATTTTTGGGCCTTGGCAGTATTTACCGGACTGTAGCGTCACTCATCAGGCAGGTTTTGTCTTCGTAATCCACTCGCTGATAGAGTTTTTGCTCGTCGTCAGTCTTGTACCTTGCGAAATACTCCTCGACGACGACTACCTACGTGTACGGGATCTATCTCATCGAATCAAGGACAATCTACGCCCGACAACATCTGGTGTCCATCGATCCATGTCAGTGTTCATTTTGAGTTTAGGGTGCTCACGGCATGCATTGGTGGCGAGTTGCTGACGTTTTTTTATTACAAAGTTGCTGTGCTTGCTTTATAGTGCTGTAAATTTTGTGGTCCTACACACCACTTTCGTTCCACCCACTGACTGACGGTAAGGGCTTCCACGTCACCCCTTGTTACGACGTTTCTTTCTTTTTCTCTTGCGACGTTTCTTTCTTTCGTTCTTTGTTAGAAGAGACCTTGAGGCCTTACGGCTTTTGCTTTTAACCCCAAAACTAATTCCGCATTGTCCTTCGTTACCACCACCCACGCGCTCCACAGCAACACTTTTTTCTTCTTCTTCTTCTTCTTCCCCCACCCCCCTTTCACATTTCATCCTACCCATCCAACCGCACATACTGATTCTTAATCCCATGGGCCAGGTGCACGCCAACCCATACAAACTTTTCTTAAAAGCAAGAAAGTCAAAATCAAAATCTCATCATCACCATCCCAGAAAAGAACATAAACCCGCTGCACAACAACCTCAACCCAGCACCACCACCACCACCACCGAAGAAAAGATAATGTATCACGGCGGAGGATCGCCCGTCTTTGACGTGCCCGAGTTCCCAACATTACGACGGGTAAAACCGCTCCCGAAACGGCGTAAAACGTCGCCCACCGCTTCTTCTGATCCCACATCCAACAACGCCAACGCTGCTGCGTTGGACATGATAAATCCAGATGCGACTGCTGAAGAACTCCTGGCACACGCGGAGACGCTCTCGGCGCGCATGGCTCTGCAGAGCTATTACGTGCCGATTTTGGGGGGCGTGCAGGATTTCCTTGCGGGCGCTGCTGCTGCTGCGAAACCCGGAGCAGGAGGGGCATCGCCTAACCTTGACTCTCTAGAGTTTGGGGTGCACCTTGCAGCGGCTGCTGCTGCCGCTGCTGGGCTAGGGTTAGGTGGGAGGGGGGGAGGTGATGAAGATGATGAGCATGGAGATGGGGATTATATTGATCATTTGCAGCAGCCGGGGAATACGAAGAAGAGGAAGGTTCCTGTGAATGTTGGGAATTCGCCTCGTGGTGGTGGGGTGGATGGGGAGGAGGTGGGTGCGGGAGGAGGTGGAGGGAGGGAGGAGATGGACAGGGGGATACCGACTGGACGGACGGAGGGCGGTGGTGGAGGGGGCGGCAGTGAGTCTGCGATGGAGGCCTATCGACCTACTGCGGGTCAGTTGGGGTTGTTAGGGCAGAAGAGGGGCAAGTTGGCGGCTGTTACTTTGGCGGGGCTGCAGCATAAGGAAATGTTGAAGAGCAGGAAGAGGCAGTTGGCGGCGGTGTTGGGTGCGCTTTCGCATGGCGATACGCTTGCGCTTGATCAAGCTTTATCGGCGAATTATCCGTTTGTTCCTGGTGGGCGATTCGACGACGTGAAGAACGTGGAGATGCCGAGGGTTCGTTTGTCGAAGAGGACGACCGTTCGTCTTGCTAGAGCTATGAGGATCAAACGCATTCCCCGCCATCCTGATGCGGTACCGCTCCCTGCTTCTGAATTCACTTTTGTCTGTCCCAGCGCGAGTGAGTGGTGGCGTTTCCTTCCTTCTTACTTTTCTTGTTCTTGTCGACCTTTTTTTTCTCTTCTCATTGTCGACTTTTTTTCCCCATCTTCTTCCCTTGTTGAGAGAGCTAGCCCTGATGAACGCACATTTACATGTACTGCAAACTTCTTACTTGGACTCGTTTCATCGCAGCCGCCGACCGCCTTATCGCCACCAAGGAGGAAGTCACGATGCTGCGCAATCGTTTCGAGGAGGAGTTGGAACGGCAGGCAGCCAAGGCAGTTAAACTGGCTGCGGCGAGTAGGATGATGAACTCGTTGACATCCAAGGGTAGGTCAAAGCGCGAGCGCGCCCAGCAGCGCGCACGGACGATCACCAATGGGAAACCGCCTAGTGTTGAGCAGACGGCAGAGTTTTTGGATCAGGCTTTGATAGGCGGTACGAAACCGCGGGGGAAGAAGAAAAAGCGGTCCGCCCTCGCGAACGCGTCCAACCCTCATCATCTGCGCAACTACGTTCCATCACGTCTGCCGCATTCTGGTGGTGGTGTTGGAGCCGCGAATGGTACTTCCCAGGCCAACCCTAACGATCTGGGCCCGCTTCCGTTGCGATTTTTGTCTGCTGAGATCCCACCACGAAGGAGGAAGAAATCCCAGGCGCCTCAGCCTACGGCGCAACTGACCAACCCGGCGGACGAATGGATTTGCGCGTTCTGCGAGTACGCTTTGTTCTATGGCGATGAGCAGGAGTACCGTAGGGCGGTGAGGAACCGGAAGAAGATTTTGAGGCGCCGACGACGTGCGAGGGAGCGGGCTGCTGCTGCTGCTGCGGGTGGGAATAGTGCTGCACCCAAGGTTCCCGAGAAAAGCGGGAGTGATGGGTATGAGGGTAGTGGTGGTGGGTTTGATCCGTCTCCGGATGAGTTCGCCAACGTTCCGAAGCAGACAAAGTGGAAGGGAGATCCGAACAAGGATAAAGAGCGGTCTCTGGCGGGGGAGCAGGCTTCTTACGGATAATGATATCTAAATATCCCCGGGATTGCAACCTATCGGAACGAATACCACTTTCATTTCAATAACTGTCTACATCGTTTTATCTACTCGTGCAATTATATTTTGCTTCTTTCAAGTTTCATTTCCTGCGAGGTAGGATGATTGGAATAAGGTCGAGGGCTGAAATAAGGTAAATCAAAACGCAGGGTGTGTTGTTGACAACTATTGAACATACAAATGTCGGACTATCGCGGGCCGAACCATTGTTACGGGTCGACATCTCGCGCCCTGGCTCTCTGCTTTACCGCCTCTGACAACGACGGGGGCTCTCAAGTCGCACAATAGACTGTATTATCAGCCTGTCGGCTGGAAAGGCCGCCTTGAACGACCGGTGAGCACTCTGGTTCATCGCGCGCTTAAGCTTCGCTAATTCATTTTTCTAGAGCGCCGTCCCTTTGCTATACAACATCTAAATTCGTGCTTAAACCTAACAAGTCTCCTTCCGTTGTGGAGTTCTTGTGTGAGTCGATCGTTAAGTTGTCCATGCTTCAGGGTCGCGGCATCCCAGCAAGCCTACGACCCTTTTCCCCACTTCTGGCTGCTGGGTTTACGTTTTGACGGTAATCGTCAAATACAAGTTGCCCGGAGTCCTCGTGTACAGACTCTTTTTGACAATTTCATGATGCAGGAGTGCAAGGGGAGATAGGCCCGTTTTCGCCCCTTCGCCCTCTAATAAGCTCTGGCTGCCAATCATGTTTCGCACTGCTCACGCATCTTCCCTGCCATTCTAGCTATCTCATATCAAAAACCTCTGACGTCGATATCTCCAACTACCTCGCCCCCCTTTCTTCCTTCTCTTTTGCCCACCAAGCTGTGAGTCCTTTTGGTGTGCTTCACTCCTTACCTGCCCACTTATAACCACACCAGGCTTTTTTTTTATCGACACTATGCCATCCGACGGACGATACGGTTACTCTCATCCAAACCCCCCAAGCTATGACTACAACCCTTACCCCCCACCCGTCTCAGCGTACGAGCCTCCTCAGGTAGTTCAACCCCCTTCCTTGCGATCATCTCGGTCAACAAATCCCCCTTCCCAACCCCATTCACCGCCTCTGTCAAATCACCACTATCAAGCCCCATCCTACCAGCAGCAGGGTTACGGTCCAGGGCAGTACCAGCACCCGCCGCCTCAGCCCCCGCCCCAGGCTCAGCACCCGCCGCCGCCGCCGCATCCTTCATCGCACTGGCCCAATGAGGGCTGGGGCCATTATAATCAGCAACAATACCCACCCCATCCCCCTCCCACACATGCGTCTGCAGAACCTCCGTACACCTCTGGTCCTGGACGACCAGAACAAGTTTCCAGCTCTTCTTCTGAGCCGAGGGGATACGCGCCTTCGCATCCCCCTCCTCCGCCTTCGAGCGGTGATTCTCGTAGAGGGGAGGATAGGCACCATGCACCACCGCCACCTCCACCTCCTCACTCGTCCTCTGCCTCCTCGATTCCGCCGCCACCGAGCTCTGCTCACCATCACCAGCAACAGCAACCGCAGCAGCCTCCTCCTCCTCCACACCACCACCACCAGGCTCAACAGCATAACAATCAGGGAAAACCTTCACGGAGGGAGAAAGAATCCCCTCCCGCGATCCCACCGCCAGGCACACCTTCCAATCTTGATTTCATGAAGGTCAGTATATCCACTCTCGAGATGAGCCCCATTCTGACTCTCTAAAAAAAAAAAACTAGTTGTTGGAGTCCTATAGGATAATTTTGGATGGGACGGAGGCGCTGTCTGCTCCCTCGTCGTCGTCGTCGTCAGCCTCCAGAACGCCTCCAGCGGCCGAGACGATCGAACGAATGTTGCAGAGCGCTACGTACGGTTGGCACACGCTCGACGAGGCGTTGGCGCAGCATTCCCATCGCCAGAGTGGCGGTAATGCCGCGGCACCGACCGAGTCGACACGCTCTCCAAAGGAGAAAGACCCAGAAGAAGCGACGCCGAAGGAGCCGGCGAATGGAGCTACGGCGTCATCGTCTTCTTCTTCAAAGCGACAGGTCAGGAGTTTTTTATTATTGTTTGATTGGGTATTGATTTGCCTCTTTTTATTTTATTTTCTGTCTTCCCCTCTTGATCGGTTGTTACTTCCACTTTTGCATTTCTTTGGGTTGAAACCAATTGCGCGTGCCTGAACTGACTGTGGATTTTTCTGAACTTGGTGTCTTGCCTTTGATGGCTTTGATTCTGTTCATCAGAAAGTAGATGATACGGTTCAGGAAGGTCAGACTTGTTTGGGGTGTAATGCTACCTCTACGCCAGAGTGGAGACGGGGACCGATGGGTGAGGATTTACATCTTACTCGCAGCAAAAAATTATTGTTGACATGTTATTTTCAGGACCTCGTACACTATGCAATGCTTGTGGGCTGGTGTACGCCAAGCTGGTGGGTTTCGTAATGCTCTTGACTGGCGCTGGTTGCTAAGCTCTGTGACAGATAAAAAAACGTTTTCGGGAAACACTCAATATGAAGGGTCAGAATGGCAAAAATATTCCTCCCCAAGCGGCTGGTGATGACTCATTGGAAGGCGAGAGCGAAGACGACGACGGGTATTCGCAGGACCGACGGAGCGAGCTTGTGGAAGGGAGAGACTAATTAGAGCGCAGTCGTGAGTTGTGTGTGAGTGTTTGACGTTTGACTCAACTTTTGTTCTTTCTTGCCGCCCAGCCATACATTTTTTTGCATTGTCGCGGATATGTTTGTACCTTGTGCGCTATCCACTTGCTTGCTGTTTTCGCCCTTTTCGCTTTCTTCTTTCGATTATGGCGAGCCTTTCTTGGGACTTAATCACATTGCGTATCATAGCAGCCGAAATTATTATTATTACACTCCCTTTGGCATATTCCTTGGCCGTGTTATTCAACAGCGATTATAGACACGAATTCGAAGCTTCTGCTCGATCCTATCGTGTGTTCCTTTTTCCTCTCCACCAATGAGCTGAGCCTTTGTCTCCGTCATCTTTCCAGCTTTACCGACCTTGACGTAAAGGTTGCTTCTTTGCCAATAAAAACCGAAGCCCACATTTGGCAGAACAACCTCAGTTTCTCTCATAGGTCCGTCACGTTCTTGATGGTTTCATGACCGGAACTGCCTTTAGCGTCTGATGTTGTTGCACACCTATATGCTCCATTTGGTGTATCGAGGTCTCCATTTCATGTCTGCAGGCTGAGACCGGGTCTTTCTACTTATCAACTCAGGGAAGCCCGTCATCCATTACTTGAGCTCGCGCTTTGAAGGTTCCTCTTTCAAGTTTTTTTCAACACCGCCGAGTCGGCGGAGTATTAGGGAACGTTTTCGGGGTCATGAGGTTCACTGCTAGCCTAGCCCTCACACGCGCGATCGGTGCTTTCTGTCAGTTCGCCGTGGGTTGCCCCTTGTTTCGGTGTCAAGTTCTACAGTGTTATGGGAATCCAAGGAAACCCTACCCAGTCTATTTACGGAACGGCGTTTCTCTCCACAAAAAAAATACGCACCCTCCCCGAGCCCATTACCTCGGCACGTCCTGGATACAAAAAAAAATCGTGCCTGCCTGCCTGCCTTGAGTGGCGGTCGTGTCCGTTGCCCCGCCACTGGCTACGTCAGTGTGTCTGATGGAACTTCGGTCGTGTCAATATCTACAGAGCGAGCGTTAGTGATTTTCCTTGTGCTTTTGGCTAGTGCTATACGTTTCGGCCCGAGAAATGTCTTGTCATTGCGTCACGGACGAGCTAGTGTTGTAAAATCTGTCAAGCGTGCCGACTCAGGAACTCACTGGAACTATTTGTCGCCCCAATCCGCGTGGGTGATCTATTTGTAAAAGGTCAAGAGGGTTTGGCGCCTTCTCCCTTCCAATATAAATTTGTATCGTCGTAGATGGGGCCCTCAACTTGTCTTGGCCAGCCCAGAATGACGAAGGGTTTTCACGGTCTCACGGGAGTTAAGCAAAGCAGTCAAATGCATAGTGATATATTTACTACAATGAATGAATGAGTGTTCAACGTGTTCTAATAATTACAGGGATCGCCTTAACAGAGCGAGAATAATAAAGCAAGAGTACACCTCCCAAGGGCCAGATGCACAATCGACCGCGTGTAAGATAGATAGCAGTTCCGCGCACCGCTACAGCAGCAGCTTATTATCGCCCAGGCACTCCACCAGGAACGGCAGTTTGCTTTCCGATGACCTGTTGGGCAGCAGCAGCCTGAGCATGTGGGTGGGCAGGATGGGCACCTACAGGTCCCCCCATGCCTTGCATTGGCATACCACGACCCATGCCTGCCGCAGACACAGGCTGCCAATACGGGAGCATACGACCCTGCGCCTGCGCCTGCGCCATTTGGTAGTTCATGTAGAGCTGCTGCTGGTAGGCGGGGTGCATCTGTGAATAGAGTTGTTGCTGGGTCTGGGGTTGTTGTGGTTGCTGTGGCTGCTTGATCTGTTGTGGAGGTTGTTGTTGTGATGAGTTTGCGAGTTGCTGTTGTTGGGCGTCAGCGGTTGGGACCATGGCCGCTGCGACTGACGTCGCTGTAGCGGCAGGCGCGTTCAATGCAGGGGAAGGCGTCGCTCTGGCGTTTACTCGTGCAATGGCACGAACTTGAGACGCAGCAGCCGCAATTTGCGCTTGCAGTTGAGGTGAGGAGGAATGGCCTTCGGCCGTACCGGGACGAAGATGCGAAGGGTTGTATTGGGGGTACTGCTGCAGGAGTTGTTGCTGTTGTGTTTGTTGCGGCTGTTGGCGTTGAGGATGTTGTTGCTGCTGCTGCATTTGAGGCGACTGCTGAGCACTTGGCGGCATGGGGGACCTAGGTGCTAACTGCTGGTTCGGGACCATAGGAGATCTCCCCGCCAATTGCTGATTCGCAACCATAGGAGAGCTCCTCACTGGCGACGGTGTAGCTTTACCACGGCTAAGATTCGCCACCGCAGCTGAAAGTTGGGGGGTCGCACGTCCGTTCTTTTGCGGCTGCTGCTGCTGCGTAAGTTTCTGATTCCGCTTCTGGTTTGCGTCAGCCTGCTGCTGGGCAGCATTTTGCGCTACCTGATGCTGGTAATTCATGTATGGGAGGCTAAATTGCTGAGGCTGAGCATTCGCATTTTGGGAATTGGGAGGGGGAGGTTGGGATTGTGGTTGTTGCGGCTGCTGTGCGGCAACAGCGACATTGTTTGGATTTCGCAACACTTGGAGTGATTGTGTAAATTGGAAATTTGCTGAGAAAGGGGATCCTCAGAGTCGACC